TTTTATTTTTTTAAATGGAACACCCTGTATATTATTACATTTTAGTTTCTACGATTAAAATAAAAGGTAAATTTGATTAAGGTTTATTATACTTAAACCTTACCGTTTTTGAAATATTTTCAATTTTGTGAAATTGCAGTAAAAATTTTAAAAGCTTCATTTCTCCAAGGGGTATCAATGTTTTTAATACTAAATATTTAATGAAGTTTATTTATTGATCAGTTATTGTGTTGCAATAATAAAATAATACTACCTTATACAGAGTGTCTAAAAATTTATTTTAAATAATTATTAGCTTCAAACGTCAATAACTTGTTTAATTTAAATGGAACACCTGTATATTTTACGAGAATCAGATGCACAATTTAATTGTCTATCAAATTATATTATACCATTTTTACCAATCTCTTTAAGTTTCCGTAGAAAATGGATTTTCTTATAATTTAGAACTTATTTATCAATATACCCATGGACTATTGACATTTTAGATTATTTTTAAAGATGTACCAAATTTTTAAAGAGTACAGATACTAATATTGTCGATATAATTCGTTTATTTCATTAAAAATAAAAAAAAACTGTTTAAATATTTGTTAAAGAGGACCAATTAATATGATTCCAGTATTCAAACTACATTAACTGACTGTTTGCGTTGATTAATAATAATTGCTCCAAATACTAATAAACTGAATTTTGTATGGGCATTAGACAGTGTGATAAAAGTAACACCTTAAAATGATATTTCATTTTTTTAATAAATGCTTATTTATAACAACAGAGACTTTAATTTGATAACTTATTATTATATTGATTTCTGACTCAAATCCACATTTATTTATAATAATTTATTAACGAACACAATTAAGTATGTAATTAATTAGTATATGGGCGGAAATAATGGTGTTATATTTAATTAATGGTATACTCTTTTATAAAGATTTAAATAGGTTTCTTTTTGCATACAAATGGGCTAGTAATATTATCGTTTTGCTAAAAACGATAATATTACTAGTCTGTACATTTTGTACATTTGTTGTTTTAAAAACAATCTAAAATGTCAATATTCCATGGATATATTGATAAATGAGGTCTAAATTATAAGAAAATGCATTTTCTACGAAAACTTGAAGGGATAGGTAAAAAATGGTATAATACAATTTGATAGACAATTTAATTGTGCATCTGATTCTCCTAAAATATACAGGGCATTCCATTTAAATTAAAGAAGTTATTGCCGTTTGAAGCTAATAATTATTTAAAATAAATTTTTAGACACTCTGTATAAGGTAGTATTATTTTTATTATTGCAACACAATAACTGATCAATAAATAAACTTCATTAAATATTTAGTATTAAATGAAGCTTTAAAATTTTTACTGCAATTTCACAAAATTGAAAATATTTCAAAAACGGTAAGGTTTAAGTATAATAAACCTTAATCAAATTTACCTTTATTTTAATCGTAGAAACTAAAAATGTAATAATATACAGGGTGTTCCATTTAAAAAATACAACTTTGATATTTTTTATTTATTTTGGACACTCTGTATCTTGTAAAAATATTTTTAAATTGTAGCTCTAATAGTCCTTCAACGAACCCCAAACTTACAATTTATAAAAATCTCATCGTTTAGCTACAATACTCCGTGTCGTATGTGGTGAACAACCCTGTATATATATAATTTAAATAGTTTTTTTTACTTCCCACTTAGTTATTTTTTTTGCTTCCGACGACGGAAAGAGATAAACTTTCCGAAACGTTAAGCATTTTTTTCCGTTAGGCAAATTTGTATAACTGTAAACATAACTTCTGACAAGCAGTGTCCGTTTAGGTTTAACGCCAGAAGTGTTTACAAAAAATAACTATTTTATTTTGTCGATTTTCTTGCAGTGCAGTGGCGAAATACCCATAAAGGATTTTTTGGAGAGATGAATCTGCCACATAGGTATAGACATTTTTAAAAAATAACATGTTAGACTGAAGTTTTTCTGTTCTATATATAAATGCCACAAGATTGGTATATTAAATTTACATTTATTTTATGTTTTATGATTTAGGAGACACTGAAAAAAAATATTTATAAGAAATTATTCGTCTTGTATTTACTGTCTTTTAGATCATTAGAGTAAAAAAAAATATTTTTTAAATTTTCTACAAAATACAAAATATAAATAAAATGTTGGAAACTTCCTGTATAGTTACAAAACATTTCTCTTAATACTTTTCTATTCTACGTTTTTCGACCGAATAACCCTCCATTTACCAGATTTGGTAAAACAGGATAAATTCACTCTAGGTTTTTACCACTTTTTAAAAAATGACATTTTTTAAATATGAATTATCATAGTCATAGTCACATACAGGGTAGCCCATCGAAAACGTTCCGCAAGGCATAACGGCCAGGGTATAATTTTTTTCATAAAATCCAAAAACACGTCAATTTTGTTTGTGAGGGGGACAACTTTTGCCCCAAAAATGATTGCAAAATCTTCAACCCTCTGAGCGGGGGTGTCATCCCTCAACTTTTTTCAAATGGGAAGGGTGGTCAAGTGGCGCCGCAATGAAAAGAGCTTTCTATTCTCTATATTTCCCCGCCTCGTTTTTGAAAATCGGTCGAGGCATTGAGAAAATATGAAGGATTGAAATTTGAAAAGTTTATTTAAACATTTATTAGAGTAAATGATAAGGATAAATTCCTTCGACCAATTTGAGTTTTTTTCTTATTATTTCTAGATGTTTACGCATTTTTTCACTTGCCACAAGGTTGAACGATCAAGTGCGGTAGTTGCTAGATAGCTGTTCTGTGACTTGTGCGTTGAAGTTCTTCTCAATATCGTTAAACTGACCTACAATAGAATTTCCAAAAATACGAGCCCACACGTTCAATTTCTGAGAGTTTTGTGTGTTCACCTCGTGAAAAACCGTGGGGTTGTCCTCAGCCCAGTACCGACAGTTGTGCCGATTAACTACATCGTTCAAAAAGAAAGTACACTCATCCGAAAAACACACATTAAATAGGAAATTATTATCATTCGCCACTCGTTCACTCATAGTTTCACAAAATTGCAAGCGACGATCAAAATTGTCTCCGTTGAGTTCTTGTACCACCTGAATTTTGTACGGGTGGAACTTGTGTTTTTTTTAATATCCTTTGGACAACTGTACGATTCACGCCGGTCTCATTGGCTAATTTTCTTGTACTGAGCGTACTATCCATGGCAACTTGGCCCAATACGAATACCTCCATAGCTTCATTTACTACAGAATTTTCCCCCTGCCTTTTTTTTTCATAACAAAACGAGTTTCTCGAAATTTTGCTACTAACTCGCGAACAATTTTGCCATAAAGGTGTTTGTCAGGATGGCGTTCATTCAATATCTGCGCAAACCGATTGCCACATTCATTATTTTTAAAAAAAAGTTCGATTATTTCCACTTTTTCTGCAAGTGAGTACACCATAATAAATGTTAAAAAGTTAAACGATATTGAGAAGAACTTCAACTCATAAGTCACAGAACAGCTATCTAGCAACTACCGCACCTGATCGTTCAACCTTGTGACAAGTGAAAAAATGCGTAAACATCCAAAAATAATTAGAAAAAACAGCAAATTGGTCGAAGAAATTTACCCTTATCATTTACTCTGATAAATGTTTAAATAAACTTCAAATTTCAATCCTTCATATTTTCTCAATGGCTCGACCGATTTTCAAATGGGAAGGGGGGTCAAGTGGTACCGCAAAGAAAAGGGCTTTCTATTCTCTATACTTTCCTGCTTCGTTTTTGAAGATCGGTCGAGTCGTTGGGAAAATATGAAGGATTGATTAGGATAAGGATAAATTCCTTCGACTAATTTGCTGTTTTTCTTATTATTTCTAGATGTTTGCAATCGGGTTGCGCAGATATTCAATGAACACCATCCTGACAAACACCTTTATGGCAAAATTGTTCGCCAGTTAATTGTTTCGCGAAATTGGTTCCGTTATGAATAAAAAGAGGCAGAGGGAAAATCCTGTAGTAAATGAAGCTATGGAGATATTCGTATTGGGCCAAGTTGCCATGGACAGTATTCTGAGTACAAGAAAATTAGCCAATGAGACCGGCGGGAATCGTACAAGTTTCCAAAGGATATTAAAAAAACACAAGTTCCACCCGTACAAAATTCAGTTGGTACAAGAACTCAACGAAGACGATTTTGATCGTTGCTTGCAATTTTGTGAAGCTATGAGTGAACGAGTGGCGAATGATAATAATTTCCTATTTAATGTGTGTTTTTCGGATGAGTGTAGTTTCTTTTTGAACGGTGTAGTTAATCGGCACAACTGTCGGTACTGGGCTGAGGACAACCCCAGGGTTTTTCACGAGGTGCACACACAAAACCCTCAGAAATTGAACGTGTGGGCTGGTACTTTTGGAAATTCTATTATAGGTCAGTTTAACGAGATTGAGAAGAACTTCAACGTACAAGTCACAGAACAGCTATCTAGCAACTACCGCACCTGATCGTTCAACGTTGTGGCAAGTGAAAAAATACGTAAACATCTAGAAATAATAAGAAAAAACAGCAAATTGGTCGAATTTATCCTTAATTATCATTTACTCTGATAAATGCTTAAATAAACTTTTCAAATTTCAATCCTTCATATTTTCTCAATGACTCGACCGATTTTCAAAAACGAAGCGAGGAAATATAGAGAATAGAAAACTCTTTTCATTGCGGTGCCACTTGACCCCCCTTTCCATTTGAAAAAAGTTGGGGGATGACACCCCCGGTTAGAGGGTTGAATATTTTGCAATCATTTTTGGGGCAAAAGTTGTCCCCCTCACAAACAAAATTGACGTGTTTTTGGATTTTTTGAAAAAATAAATACCCTGGCCGTTATGCCTTGCGGAACGTTTTCGATGGGCCACCCTGTATGTAATTTATAACAAAAACATTTGTTGCGGACTTTTTAGCACACACTGAATAATTACTAAATAAAAATTATACTTAACATACCTGCCTGAACTCTCCGAAGAGACCGATTCGGGAGAACTGGGTACGCTGAAAATAAAATATTGTTTAATTGAAAACTTTTAATTAGGTGAAAATACCTGTTTTTATTAGTTTCTATTGAACTTCTACTGTCAACTTTTAACTTTTTAAATTTATTTTCAATATTTTTTCGTCGTTTGCGCTCCATACTGTCCTTAGAACTTAGACTGTTTTTACTTAATCTTGATATAGCAAAGTCCATCTTTTCTAAGATTATAGTAGGCGACTTAGTAAACTCCTGACTAAAATGGACAGTTACTGTAAAAATACTGTCTGAAAATAATTAGTTCTTTATTAAAACATACGTTCTAGGTCTCTGTGTGTTGATGCTGTATTTATTTCTTATTTTATTACTGGAACTGTTCCTGGAAGACTTTGGAGATTCTTTTTCTGAATCAGACTTTAGTGACTTACTAGACCTAAGCTGTCTGAGTTCAGAATCTACTAATGGAGATATAGGTGATATATTTCTAGTATGAGATAATCTGAAAATAAACTGAAATGTATCCAGGGTAGCCTAGTTTTACAAAACAGCAGGCAACAGACATTAGCAGCATGCTTTTTATGACTAGCTTCATGAAGATGTATTTTTTAATAAAATTCTCTATTATTTTAAATAAAATCGCCTGTTTATATCAGATATTAGTATGTATTTATCCAACTATACAGGGTGCTACAAATTCGAGGTACGAGCATTGGTATCTCGGAAACCGTAATAGATACGAAGATGGTTAAATTGGGGCAAAGTTGCGCCTTGTGATGTTCACCAAGATACTATCAAAAAAGTTTTTAAAATTTCAAGGATTGCTGAGTTTTTTGGAAAAAACGATTTTTTTTGAAAATCAATTTTATTTTTTCCTGTCGTTACTTTTTAGAAAATCAAAAAACTAATTGCATATTCTCATAGCCACTTTATTAGGGCTATCTGACAGTATTTTTAGATTTTCAAATTAGCTGATAATTTGTGTGATACAGAGGCCGACTTAATATTTTTAAATACGGACCTGCATTTTTTATTTCAGTTTTTGAAAGAACTCGGTCTCCTGAGTACAATGATATGCCACACTTTATACTTTTTTTGTTTTGGGTACCTTAACATCAACAAAACTATTTAATTATTATTTAAAATATTTTCAAGTCCGACCCTGGTTTCTTAAAATATTTAATCTGATTATATTCATTGCAACGATATTGATCAGTGCAAATTATCATTGTATAAGGAAAATCGAGCCAATTGAAAGATTCAAATAAATAATATGCAGCTGAGCAATTTAAAGATATTATTCTTAACTTTTTTTGCTGTGAATTTGAAATTCTCAGTGTACGATCTAACAATATGCGTAATATTAATCGTAGTTATTATAAATAAATCACCTTCTACGAACTAGTTTCCAATGCTCTACATGTTCGAAAGGGTTACCACCTTGCCTATTGCAGAAATTTATTATTCTTTCAATTTTATTTATAGCTCTTTGAACATATCTTCTTCTTATACTTCCGAATGCATTTTGTACTATTTATTGTAAATGTTGAAAAATATTGATTTCACTTTTACAAATGACGTCAAGTAATGCAATTATTTTTTTTATTGAATTTGATTTTTCGTATTCAATGTTTTACCCCACATCATAGTTAAGTTTGAAGGCTTATCAATATTGTAACGATGAATAATTTAATTATTGAAAAAACAGAGCCGGACTTGAATTAGTTTAAATAAATTTTGTGTTCAAATGTCCGAAACAAAAAAAAAGTATAAATTGTGGCATATCATTGTACTCAGAGTTCTTCCAAAATCTAAAATAAAAAAATACAGGTCCGTATTTAAAGAAATTAAGTCGGCCTCTGTATCTCACAAATTATCAGCTAATTTGAAAATCTAAAAATACTATCAGATAGCCCTAATAAAGTGGCTATGAGAATGTGCAATTAATTTTTTGATTTTCTAAAAACTAACGACAGGAACAAATAAAATTGATTTTCAAAAAAATCCGTTTTTTGCAAAAAACTCAGCAATCCTTGAATTTTTTAAAACTTTTTTGATGGCATTTTAGTGAACATCCCAAGGCGGCAACTTTGCCCCAATTTAACCATGTTCGTATCTATTACGGTTACCGAGATACCAATGCTCGTAGCTCGAATTTGTAGCACCCTGTATAATATGTTTTGATAAATAATTTATGTCTGAAATAGATGTTTATTCAATATTAACAAACCACAATAATTACTTTCATAAGTTAAAAAATACTAAGAAATTTAAGGAGTTTATTATCTGAGAAAGGGTTCTGAAACAGCAAAAGGAATGCGGGCAAAAAAATCGCTATACAAAAGCAAGATTTCTCGATATTGCCATATTTAATATATTTTTAGTTCATCCCAGCATACATAATTATACGTATACAGGTTGTTAACTCGATAGTTACTTATAGGGGAACAGAATGGCAACACTGCCTATTGAGAACGCTTGCATTATTAATTTTCTGCCGACTCGTCCCGTCGCGTCGTCATCGGGCGGGCGGGCCGAGGTTGCCATATTTCAAACATAAAGCTCTTGCCGCGAGTAATAAACAAATTAACAACCTGTATATGCTAAAACTTCATTCAGAACCTCCCAATTAGTGGAATAAATTAGTGGTTTCAATTACACTTTATACTTTTTACTTTACGATCTTTCATAATGTCTAAAAAACACAATTAAAATTAATAAAATATCTAGCAACAGCTTGTGGTAGTCTGTTGTATCCAAAGATATTTATCCATAGAGAAAGGATAATATTTTTTTTTTCTAATTTATTAATGACCTCAAAACAGTACAGTAACTAAATACAATTTTTATAAATATACCTAAAACTTTACCAAGTGAGATTATACAATAGCAATTTCAAAAATAGGAAGTCACATTATAACAATTTTATATATATAAGTTCAATTTATAACAAAGTTTAATTACAGTTTGGTTTTGTAAAAGTATTTTAATTGTTTACTTAGTTTTGTGCGTTCTTCATTTTGGATTGTAGTTGGAAGATCATTAAATGTTTGGACACTTCTGTATATTGGAGAGTATTGACATGTTTTTGTAGCACTATACCTATTTCTGTATGTTCCTCTAGTTCTTGTATTATATGAGTGATAGTCACTGCTTTTATTTAATGCAACATTTGTTTTAATAAGTTTATTTTTTATGTAATAAATTAATTTAGATTGTTCATATTGTTTTATTTGTTTAAGATTTAAAAGTGGCACTTGTTTATATAACTGCTTAGTAGGAGTTCCATAATTAATAGAAAAAATAGTCTTTATCGCTTTGTTTTGTGCTCGTTGTAGCCGTTCCATCATGTATTCACTTGCAGTTCCCCAGCATGGTATTAAATATCTTAGGTGAGGCTCTATCATACTGTTATAGAGTTGATATTTTGTTGTGGTATTTAATTGATGAGCGCACCTTTTTATTTATTTTTTTATTTAGCTTATAAAACAATAGACTTTTGATTTCTAACCAAAATTTTTCTTGAAGGGTGATAATCAAAAGCCAAAATGACATTCCCCGCAAATTTTGAAGTATAATTAGTCGAAAAATCAAAAGTTTGTTAACTTTTTCCGCTAATTGAAAATTACTACCACTAATTATGACGATCCGAATGCTTACATTAAAATTAGGTGAACAAACTTCTAAGACTAATTGAAACTACTAATTTATTACACTGATTTCGAGGTTCTGAAAGAAGCTTAAGATTTATTAATTTAACTGATTTCCTTCATTCTGCCCATTATAAACATATATATTTCCTATAGATATCATCCGCTTTGTGTAAGCCGGCAACGCTGAGAAAATTCATCATGCATCCTAGATTCAGCCAACCTGATTGGTGGAGATTCTCTCACGTTTTGTTGTCACGCGGTAGCCATGCTCATATCGTTTTCCTATTGGTCATTTGTACTCCTAATTTTAAACCCCTCCCCGGAAATAGTAACTAATCGGAATATCCAGTGGCGGTGTTATTATATTGTATTTTATACCTTTAACTTGATTTGTGTATTTTATAATTATTACACGTTTTCAAACAAATATTACTATATTTAGGAAATCACCAAACAAAATGTAGATACATTATTTAAAGTAAAATAATATTATAAAGTTTCCTGGAAAATATTATAGAAATCCATATTTTATGAATGAAATCGGCTATGTTTTTAGAAAAATTCGTTACCCTTACCATTACCCCGTTGTTTCAGATCCTTTTGTCACACTGTATTTAAAGTATACAGCCAGCAATAAAGTGGGTCTCAAAATGAATTTAACAAAAACTAAAATAATGTACAACCAACTAGTAGACAGAAAAGACATTCTAATAAATAACACAACACTGGACATAGTAGAATATATATATTTGGTAAAACTAATACACAGCTCGGGATCTCTACTACCAAAAATCAACAGAAGAATTAAGTTAGCATGGAGTACTTATGGAAGAAACTCAATCATATTCAAACCTAGAATACCACTTTACCTAAAGAAGAAAACATTCAACCAATGCCTACTACCAGTCATGACCTCCGCATGCAAAACTTGGACACTTAAAACGGACATTATAAAGGAGATGCAAGTCGCACAACGCTCAATAGAACGAAATATGCGGGGAATAACCAAGAAAGACCGTAAAAGAATAGAGTAGATAGGACAAAAGACCCAGGTAATAGATGTCAACCTAGCAAGGACGGACAACAGATGGACCACAAAAATTACAGCATGGTATCCACGAGCAATTAAGAGACATAGAGAAGACCAAACCTGAGATGGAACCATGATATTAGGAAATTAGCAGGGATAACTTGGGCCCGCATAGCCAACAATAGAAAACAAAGGGTCCGACTACAAAGAGAGTATCTAAATATGTGAGGGACGCTACACCATAATTGGAAACGGTTGAAAAAGCAGAGAATGATGATGATTTAAAGTTTAATGACCGATTAACCTCTATTAATCATCTTCATGCTTTTTATTGGCATTCCAAAAACAGTTTCAAATTGTGATAAGAATATACTGTTAAATCATGTTGAAAAAACTGTTCAAACAATGAGGATGAATTAATAATTAATAAATTTAGCTTGCTTAATACTTTGTACATATTTAGTGCACAGACACAGAGTAATTATATTATAGTATCTTAAAAATACTGAGCTATTGTTTCGGAAGTAATTCAAGATGAAACTTACTCTCTAAAAACTTCTAATTTTGATCTACTTCCAGAGAGATCTTCCCTTTTTATATCACCCAATGCCGATAAGGTTGGGGTTGGCAAACGTTGAATTTCGTCGACAGTCTAGAAAAAAAAACCGCATTTATATTTAAAGTACATTTACGTGATGTCAACAAATCTATTACAGTTGGCTCACAAAAAGAGGCTTCATATTCCATTCTAGTTGAATTAGTACGTGGCGAAAATATCATTATGTCAGTTTGCATTCTTTGTCTTCCTACATTGTCTGTATTTTCTACTACAGTTGTTTCAACATTCAAATGCGTATCATTTACATTTGCTGTTGTTGAACTACATGTTCTGTTTAAGGACTTTTCAATATCTCTAGCTGACAAAGGACTCAAACATATTCTTATCTAAAATTTTTCTGAAATTAAAACCATAATCTTTTATTCGAAATCCTCGCTGTTTTACCTCGCTAAAACGAGATTGCTGATTTATTTCAGAGAAGTAACTTTCTTCAGGAATGACACTCAACTGATCCCTAGTAATAAAAATAAAGTAATGTAAAATTAAAATATTTTCCAATTTCTAGCACTTATAGATTAAACAGAAGTGGCCAATTTCTAATGTTAAATAGAGCCCATACCGGGTGCGTCTCAAAAGTGGCTCACCCCTATATATTTTTTTATTTTTTCAGTTAAAAAAACGAGATTTGGTATGTTAGTATATGACATAAATTAGGATTGATTGACGTATTCAATTGTTTTCTGTCACTACCTGTTTCACCAGAAATGACTACAACTACTGATTTTTAAATGGCACCGTCGGTATTTATTTTACTTTATTCGATAGAAAATAACATTCTGAACAGAATGATATATGTCACCTTTTGACATTTTCGCTTAAAACAAAACTGAATTTTAAATTTCAATCTAGAATGCTAATGCTGTGTTAAAAACACTAATTTTTAATCAAGGAGTCTTGGAAAAATAGATTTGATTGTCTAATTTTATTCGTGTCTTGTCCTGGCCTACTATAAAAGATATCTACCCAAATCGTATTTTTAATCATATTTCAATTTTTTCAAATGGAACGAGGGTGGCTCATTAGCATATTTGGAAAAAGCATTTTTTTAAGAATACTTTGGTACCACAAAATTGGTATTTCGAGTCAAATTGTCGTTATGAATCGCATGTTTCAATTTCAAATAAGTGAAAATGTCAAAAGTTGACATATGTCATTCTATTCAGAGTGTCATTTCTATCGAATAAAGCAACAAAACACCGAGGGCACTTTTCGAGACGCACTCGGTATATATATTTTTGAAGTTTAGAATTCTATATACAATTCTTAGTATGTCATATATTTATTTGCAGATCAAAAATATTTAATTTTTTTCAGTATTCATGGTTCTTTCTCATACATTTAGTAAATTAATTGTCTTTCAGAAAATGGCTTATTCTACTAAATTTTTTACAATAATTTAATACGTTTAAATTTTTAAATTTAATAAATATTATACAAGGTGCTTATAAAAATATTAGAAATATTATGTTACTAAAACTAGAAAAATGAATTTTAATAATAAAAATGCGTAAATGCAATAGTTTCTAAAACTTAAATTACTTACAGGAATTCTGATGTCTCTCTTGAGGTGCCCTCCATATCATCATCTAAAAAAAAATATTAAAAATTATCAAACTGAACTAATATTACAAGCATTATAATACCATTAGGGGGTTCACGAGAAAGATAATCAGATCGTTCATTTCTTCTTGTAACTGAAACATTTTCATCGACCTAAAAAAATCCTAGAATTATTTTTGCCAACTAAATTATTATTTTAGTGCCTCAAAATTATCAGTATCATTATAATTTTCATTGGAATATGATGTCGATGGGATACAAACATCTCCATTTGTATGATTATTTGATACAACAGTTGATTCCGTAGTTGTAGTATTGGTAGTACTTAATCTAGTAAGTGAAACTCTGGGATTCAAATTCAGCACCGTTCCATTCACAGTGTGCGGCTGAACAGCATGTGTTATTGCTTTAGACTGTCTTGATGTAATACCTAGAAATTGAACATATGTTCAAATTTAATTACACAAAATGTTGCATAATGTATTAGAATGACTCTAAATACCCTATGATCAAATAAAAACGGCGTCAGCGATGGCTATGAAATGAAGATCGCTGTCATTTTATATGTAAATTTATATGGGAAATGTCATCGATCGTCATTTCCAAGCCAACTGGACGCCGTTTTTATTCTATCATACGATAGATTATATCCAGGGCTGCAAGCTGATAGAAAACTTCAGTCTTTTTTTGATTTAAATCATTCTAATGACGTAAGTCATTTGATTTTAAGTCATAAAACTTATAGTTTAAATCTTTGGTTTAAGTCATTTAAAAAATTATTAAGTCTATTCCAAAATTTAAAAAGTAAGTAATTAAAAAAAGACTTAAATCCACATAATAGGATTATATTTGTTCATGTAAACATTGTAAACCCTATTAAAGGAAATATAAACTTACTTTTTTCAGAAAAACTGATACTATTATAACGTTGACAATTTCCAGTTACATCCAAAAATAAGTTTAATATGTTAACTAAATTTGGAGTACAGCTCTTCATATTTTCTGTTAAATTGGTGAAAGCCGACTGAACACTCTAAAATAATCAGAAATCACAAACAGAACTAACAATTAATTAAACAACAATGTAATATTTTACATTAAACTTTGATTGCATTTGCAATAAATCTGCTTGTAAGGAGTAGATTTGACTTCTCATTTCGGCATTGTCCTGAGTTAATTTCGTATTTAATTTGGTTAAATCTAAATTCTTTGTTCTTAAGGCATTCAGTTCTATAAACAAAACTAATTTATTGTAATAATCGGTTACAGCTTCAAGAAAAATTACCAAGTTCCATTTGTAATGACAGTGAGCTGCTTCCCTCGGTTTCCCGAAAACTATTTTTAGATTTTTTCTTCATATCCTTTATACTTGGCATGTTAGCAAATTATTGAAGCACTAATTCCATTTTATAAAATAAACTGAAAATAATAAAACTATATAACTTGAAAACAATGCTTCAAAACAGCTTTCTCCTTTCTCTGGCTTTCTGAAATTTTAACCTTAACAATTTTTGACAATTTTGACGGTTAAAAAAATTAGAGTATTTTAAACTTTAAAGTCCTCCTCAGCTTTTGCTTCTGGAAAAATAAGTAATAAAAAGTACGTGACAATTTGTACGGAGAAACAGGCAGAACATTAATTTTAAAATTTACTAATAGGATATACTAGATACGTTAGGTATTTATGTAAAAAGAGAGTAAAATTTAAAACATACTTTATTCATGAATAGATTCTGCAACCTCTAACTAGCGTGACGTCATAAATCTCGCCCGTAGGCTGATCTTATAATAGAAGGCACTGAATGAACAATATAATAAAGGTAGGTATACTACCCGCAGCGCAAACCAATTGGCGCAAACCTTGTATTTATTATTTTATGGCGCAAACTACTGAAAATTTTGTAAACAAATAAATTTGACGTTGAGTTGAAAATGATTTTCATCAGTTTTCATCTCATAAATTATACTATTTTTCTAAATACAAAGCTGAATTAAGCTTGAAATACTTTAAGTTAATTGTATAACAGTTATTAATCTATTTATTATATGTGCTTTTATTTAAGGACACTTTTTACATATTAAGCAAACATATGTAAAATAACTGACGTGGCCTTATTTTGAAAAATTAAGTAGGAAATCGTAATAATGGAAAGAAAGAAAGGAAAAAATAATGAAAATTTGGTATCTTCAGTTGAAAACGGTGAAGTTAGTAATGCGGTAGAGAGTAGAAGTAATATCAAAGGAGATGAATGGAATATAGTACTACTTTTATTCTTATATACTTTACAAGGGATTCCATTAGGGCTTAGTTCAGCAATTCCTATGATTCTACAAAATAGGGGTGTTAGTTACAAACAACAGGTGATACAACATCTTTGAATGGATCATTATATTATCACTTTTGTTAATATAATTATTTTTTTATTTTATTCTAGGCAGAATTTAGTTTTGTCTATTGGCCGTTTAGTTTAAAGCTTTTATGGGCACCATTGGTCGATGCATTTTTCTCAGCAAAATTAGGACGTAGGAAGAGTTGGTTAATTCCAACTCAGTATCTAATAGGTATATTTTTATTCATATAGATTTAATGCAAATTATATATAATATTTTTTTGTAGGATTTTTTATGCTTGTTTTATCTAGTCATGTGAATCAGTGGCTGGGAGATAGCTCCAATGCTCCAAATATAGGAATATTGACATTGTTATTTTTTTTATTAAATTTTTTGGCAGCCACTCAAGATATAGCAGTGGATGGATGGGCATTAACCATGCTTAAGAAATGTAATGTTGGCCATGCCTCAACATGTAACAGTATTGGACAATCAGCAGGTTTCTTTTTAAGCTATGTAGTTTTTATGGCTTTAGAATCACCAAATTTTTGTAATACATATCTACGAAGTGTTCCTCAAGATGAAGGTACTTTACAACTTACTCCAAACTGTAATTAAATAATTTTATTTTACATTTCTAGGACTAGTGACACTACCAAGCTTTTTTTATTATTGGGGTTGGATATTTATAATTTCAACAACTATAGTTGGACTCATTAAAAGTGAAGTTGAACCTCATGATCCCGATCATGCTGTTGTTCATGACAGAGACATTAAGACAGCTTATAATTCTTTGAAAAGTATCTTAACACTTCCTGCCATCAAAACCTTAGTTCTGATATTGATTTCATGTAAAGTAAGTAATGTTATTTTAAATATAGGTATTTATTATATGAATTTAATACTTAAATAAGCCTTAATATTAGTCTGTTTTTAGATTGGTTTTTCTTCAACTGATAATGTCATGACGTTGAAATTAGTTGAGGCTGGAATACCTAAAGAAAAACTAGGTTTAATGGCTATACCTTTAATACCTGTTCAGTTAATATTACCCATTGTAATAGCAAAATACACAACAGGTATTTAATATAATACACTTAATATACATATTTAGAAAAGTATATTTGTTTTATAATTTTAGGTCCCAAACCCCTCAACATATTTCTAAAAGCAATTCCATATCGACTAATTTTTGGGATTATTGCAGCTTTTTTGGTGTGGATAACCCCAACAATGGTGCCAGATAGCTCAAAAGGTTTACCTATATTCTATGTAATTTTACTAATAGGATGTTATGCCTTACATCAGGTAAATATGTCTACCCGGGGCGCCTCAAAAGTGGCTCACCCTTATAACTTTAATTTTTTTAGATAAAAAAAATCGAGATTTCGTATGTTAGTATACAGGGTGTTTCAAAAAACATGTGCCATCTCTCGTGGGGAGATTTCTCACATAAAAATAAGATTTATTTTTCATATGAACATAGGTCCGATTGTGCTTTGTTTCGTAGCTAGAGGGTGTTAAAATCTTAATAATCTTTTGATTTATTATAATTTTCTTCTAAGTACTTTTAGTGGTTTGAATGAAATTTTGAGAGTAAAAGTTACTATAAGTGCTGCATATTTTAATGCTAAAAAAGTGTCGATTAAATCATCAGAGACGTGCATATGGGTTATCACTGGAATATTTTTCAAAAGAAAACATGTGCGCTACTAACTTTTTTTCTTTTGATATCAGAATTTGTAGGCCGTTTAATGCCAGTTGAAAGTTATCTCTGAATATTTTGTTGAATTCGGCCTCCTTGATGAGATAAACGCATTTTTATTAATCACAATTAATAAAATTAAAATAAAACAAAATTAATAAATTATATATTTTACCTAATTTATTATTAAATATTATTGCTATTAGTTATTATTACTATTAGTCCAACCTAGAGCAATTTCATATAAAAAAAGTAATGGTATTTAAGATGATTACAAAAACCCAATTTTTAAAAGTTTTAACATCCTGTAACTCTAAAACTATGTATTTCCATACCCATGTTTATAGGAACTTTTTTTATATTTTTTGATGAGGAATCAATGAGTACTTATTTAAAACTCCCGCAAGTTAATGATATTGAACTGTTTTAAAGGTTACTATTAAACTTGGACCCAGGCAAATTAATAAAATTGCGTTTATCTCACTAAGGAGGCCGAAATCGACAAAATATCAAGAAACAACTTTTAATCGGCATTAAAGTACTTAATTATTTCATTAACAAGAGAAAAAAAAGGCAGTGGCGTACATGCTTTTTTTAGAAAAATATTCCAGTGGTAACCCATATGCACGTCCCTGGTGAATATGTCGACACTTTTTTACCTTTAAAATATGTCGCATTTACAGTAACTCTCACCCTCAAAATTTCATTTGAAACGCCAAAAATACTTGGGAGAAAATTATAATAAATTGAAAAAATATTAAGGCTTGAACACCCTGTAGCTACGAAATAAAGCAAAATCGGACCTGTGTTAATATGAAAAATAAATCTTATTTTTACGTGAGGAATATCCCCACGACAGATGGCACATGTTTTTTGAAACACCCTGTATAACAGAAATTAGGATTAATTAACGTATTCAGTTGTTTTCGGTCACTTCCTGTTTCACCGGAAATGACTACAACTTTTGATTTTTATGGCACCCTCGGTATTTTGTTACTTTATTCCTTTGAATAAGAAGACTAAGGAAGGAGCATATCAAAAATCTTAGGTCCACCGCGATGGGTCAAGGATCCCCACCCTAGAGTCCTTTTTCCGCCCACCATGCATGAATACATGGATAGCATTATGCTCCTTCCTTAGTCTTCTTATTCAAAGCTTTATTCAATAGAAAATGACACTTCGAACAGAACGACATATCATATGTCAACTTTTGACATTTTCAAATATGATTTATTTGAAATTGCAACATGGGATTCATAACAACAACTTGACCCGAAATACCAAGTGTTTAGTACCAAATTATTCGTAAAAAATGTTTTTTTTTAAATATGCTAATTGTTCACCCTTGTTCATACCACCCTTGTTCCATTTGAAAAAATTGATATATGATTAAAAATACGATTTGGGCATCTTTTAACCGTCCAGGACAAGACACAAGACGATTAATTCTGGTTTTCCAAGGGTCGTTGATTAAAATTTAGTGTTTTTAACACAGCCATGGAACTAGATTGAAATTTAAAATACAATTTTGTTTTAAGCGAAAATGTCAAAAGTTAATATGTTATTATATTTAGAGTGTCATTTCCTCTTGAATAAAGTAAAAAATACCGAGGGTGCCATTTAAAAATCAAATGTAGTAATTTCCGGTGAAACAGGAAGTGGCCGAAAAGAATTGAATACGTCAATCAATCCTAATTTATGTCATATACTAACATACGAAATCTCCTTTTTTTATCTGAAAAAATAAAAAAGTTGGATAAGCCACTTTTGAGTAGCACCCGGTATAACTACTGGATGCCGTGATATAACTTCAACAATTTTGTTTTTTATGCCTTAGGTATGTGTATATGCAATGTTTGTTTCGATTATGGCGTTTTTTGCTAAGATTAGCGACTCTTCTGTTGGCGGAACGTACATGACATTGCTGAATACTGTTACAAATTTAGGTGGTAATTGGCCAGCCATGTTAGCACTATATTTTGTCGATCCATTGACTTGGAAGGAATGTGTTGGAGCTGATTCTTTATCAGGAAATATGTGCAAGGATGCTGTTGAAAAGGAGGTATAGTTTAGTTTATAAATGCAAGCCTGGCATACATAGTATACAGCGTATTTCAAACAATATGTGCCATATCTGGTCGGGAGATTCTTCATGTAAAAATAAGGTTTATTATTTCTCATAACAACATAAGACCAATTATTCTGCTTTGTTTTGTAGCTACAAGGGGTTAAAGTCTATTTTTTTCGATTTATTATAATTTTTTTCCAAGAGCTTTTAGCGATTCAAATGCAATTTGGAGGGTATATGTTATTATAAGTGCTACAAATTTTAATGTTAAAAAAAACGTCTACAGATTCACCAGGAACGTGCATATGGATTATCACTGGAATATTTTTTAAAGGAAAACATGAGCGCCACTGACGGTACAGATCACCGCGACCTTACAGATCTTTTGTGTCCCCCTTTCTTAAGTTATAACTCATTATACAGTTCCAGGGCCCTTACAAAAGCCAGTATCAGACGGTTTTACAAAGGCTAGTTCTCCATTTCCAATATATCAGTGAAAGTTTATGGCATGAATGGTTGTCGTCTCGGGGCACTCAGTGGTGAGGTGTTCTGGTGTTTCCCCATTGTCCCCACAGAATCTGCACCAGCCGTTTTTTCTTAGCTTTAATCTACTGAGGTGTTAATTGAGGAGACAGTGTCCTGGTAAACGTACCGTTACAATCCGAAGATTGTTCTCACTTAAATCAAGGAAAATCTTTGATTTTTCTCGGTTGTAGGTGTTGAGAAATTTCTTTTAAGTGTCTTAGACCGTTGGGGATTCCCATTCCAGGTTACGGATGGAGTCTGCCAGGTTCTTGAGTACCAGTTTAAGTTGGTTTCCGCTTGGAAGGCAGAACAGTTCGGGTCCATTTAGTGGAGTGTTCGCATTGTTGCGGATGGAGTCTTCCAAGTTCTTGAGTTCCGCTGTTAGTTGGTTTCGGACTTATTATGTAGTATGTTAATATGAAAAATAAATCTTAATTTTATGTTAAGAATCTGCCGTTGATGAGGATGGCATCTTTTTTTTTTAGTTTTAACTAACGAGAGATGGGATCTTTTTTTTAGTTTTTTCAAACATCCTGTAGAGCATACTATAGAGGAAAAATACAAGCCTGATATATTATTTATTGGTTTGATGTTATGTTGTTTAGAATTTTGGTTTTAGTAATTATTATTTTTAAATGTTTTATATTACTCCCAGTTATACATTTGATTTCTAAATATCAGTAATTTAGATTTTTTTTTATTTCGTACAGTTAAAAATATTTTTTAGGAATGCATAAATTCAAATGGAAAATGTGTCACAACATTAGATGGGTTTTATATAGAGACTGTCATATGCACTGTCATTGGTTTTATTTGGTTAATGTGGGGCGAGAAAAAAATCCAGGAAGTTCAGAGCTTAGACGAGAATGCCTGGAAGCTACAAAGAACTAAGAAAGATAAAAGATAGTATTTAGTGGTGTAAAATAATGTAAACTATTTGTTATTTTTTTATTGCATTTCTGTGCAAATCTAGGCAATACGTAAAGCTGAAGATGTAAGGATTGCTATAAAATTGAATTTAAAAACGGAATATTTAATAGTTTATAAACTATAAAAAAGTATTATATATGTACTCTGTTTTATTATTACGACAGATTTTCTACCTCATAATAGGATATAGCAACAAAAAGTAAAAAAGTTTATTATTGACTTTATTATAAAAATATATGAGGCTTAAAAAAACTTTTTTACATACATTCACATATTTAATATGCAGTATAAGTTTGGTTGATGTCATTAGTCATATTTTGCATGTTTATTTCTCATAATACTGATCATGCATTTATTTTATTATACCTATAATCAAATAACATATATATTTTAAGAAAGAAGAAACTCTTATAGCAATCCATATAATGCATCTGGGGTTATGTAAATAGGGTCCGTCCGGCCAGAGGATATATTATGACAGTGACATTTGTGTCAGGCATGTCAAACATAAATTGTATTTTCTGTCATCGTTTGGATGTCGTCTGTCGAAATCTTCCGCGGTTCGTTGGACAGACTTTAGTTATATTTCAATATCAATTTAACTGGTATATTGATATAATTTTTTTCCTGTAATTTTTAAGTGGGGTTATTTATAAAAATATTGTTTTATCTAATTCTGTCAATTGGGTAGGAAAAAAATTGTGGGTATAAAGGTTATTTAAAACATTTTGTGATAGTTATTTGTTGACATTTTTAAATAAATTTTGTTGCTCTTATTTCATTTCTTAGTATAATATATAAAGCGACTGATTATTAGATTTTTATTAAAGTTACATACATTTTTAAAACTAAAAAGTAACTACAGTAGACACAAAAAATACCAGAAGTGCAACAAAACGTTCTAGAAATATAGCTGCAAACGTTTATCAACTTTTTATTATTCTAAACAATCTAAATGAATGATAAAGGTAAAGATGGTTACCTACCACTGTGTTTTATTGCCCTTCTAGTCTTTTTATAATATCTCTACTATAGGTGTTAATCATGTGACTTTATTTTACTAATTATTGAAATAAATTTATTTTCCATATATTTGTCATCTTTGTCAAAGGTAATTAACCCAATGTTAACTTTTGAAAAATTAATTTACTTTCTATAGACTACAATATGCTTTACGTCAAACATGGAAACGTCAATGCAGTGGCGGCTCGTGGATATAAAATTAAGTGAAGAGTTAATTTTTTAAATTGCGCCGCAGGTGATAATTTTTTTGACGCATTCACCGTTTTGACATTTTTTTAAATATTTGAAAAATTTTTGCTGCATTCACCATTTTGTCAACATTTTTTTTTGTTATTTATACACTAATATCTATAATATTTTCGTTTTAGTTTGGGCTAAAACACATTAAGTAAAAAGAGATACAACCAGTTTTCGATAAAGACATTATTTTGAATTCCAGTGAAAATATAATTAAATATAATAAACATTATATACAGTGTTCCCCATAAAGTTGGATCCATATGGACGTTTTTTTTATATTAGAGTTTTAAAAAATCTTTTTGTGGCAATCACTTCTGCTTTAAAAACAACTTAAAAGGCAGGAAGTCAAAGTTGACAGCTAACATCTTTTGAGCTGTCAAATACAAAATATTTAAAAGAAATATTTTAAAAATTGGTTAAATTATTATTTTAAAAAAGGTGACTAACAAAATTATATTTCACCTTTGACTTGGTGCATTTTAAGTTGTTTTTAAAGCAGAATTGATTGCCACAAAAAGTTTTTTTTTAAACTCTAATACCAAAAAAAAAGTCCATATGGATCCAACTTTATGGAAAGCACTGTATTTATTGAAGGGTTTCCCCGAAAAACGTTGTAACCGACATTTTTTTCAAAATAGAGAATTCAGTGAAATAAGGTTGTAATTTTCATATGTATAACGTTTTTTTCTCGGTTTTTCACTGAAATTTCGATATTGAAAAAATTGTTGGTTACAACCGAGGAGCCATTCAATTATTACATTAATTATTATTACATTAATGTTTACTAAGCAATATTAACCAAAATAAATTTGACTTATTTATATTAATAACCATACTAATTTTTGTAAATCGATGAGCTCAATTTTTCATGTTTCAAATTGTACACCAAGTCATTGATTGGGTTCATTTTTTAACACATACACACACACACACACACAAAACAGTTTTAAAACACAACAAGACAAACAGCAAAAATTTACAAGTTAAATCAACAAAAACCATTAACAAACAACAACAACTTTACAGTCTTTACACTTTTACACTCGCCGAAGTAGCCGAATATTAGCATAAAGGAAGATGAAGCGAACTGTCCAAAAACTCATTCACATCAGTCGCCGATAAAAAATTTCGGGGCGGGGAATTTACATGCTGCCGCTAGGCTGACGTCACGTTACCATGGAAACCGTGCAGCCGCTCGGCTGACAAATATTTTCTCTTTACTTGTGGCTTCGTGGAAACGTACGCGCGTGCGGGACAATAATGCTACTTTTTCGGCCGGAATTAACGATGCGGTGGACCTATTATGCAGAGGTCCGCTCGAAAAAAAAATTATAAAAAATTACCATTTTATTATTTAGATACATGTAAATATTAAACTAAATTAATATTTTAAGCAGTAAAGTTTTTTCTTTGAGTATTTTTTTCGGTGAAGTGCCCCTTCACCTACTGCACCTGACGAGGCGCCACTGCGTTTATGAAATATTGGAACTCTCTGTAAATTGGATCTCTCTAGGTCTACTTTGGAAAAAAAAATCTCAAAATCTATATGCGATGTGGCATTTCTTTACAAAAAACAAAAAATGTAGTAAATACTAAATACTACAAGGATCATTTTACGAAAAAAAAATCGGTCATCGGTGGAGTTATAAAATATTTATGCTAAAATTTATGTAGGGGTGGGGGTAGTTTTCACCCTTCCTGTACTTTTTCTTGATTTTTGTTAAAGTTAAATTTTAAAGCACTTAGCAAAATATAGACATCCACAATCTCATTCAAATCGGAACAACGGTTTTTAAAATAAATATCTTAAATAATGTGCATATTTTTTTAAAGTGTGATGCCCTCTAACGGACAAACGAAGCACTTTTATATAGAGATAAATTGTGTCCAATGAAGTTATATTGATTCCAAGAATACAGTGTAGTTCTATGTCCACGGAATATTGGGACACCCTGTAGAATTGAAAAGGACACTTATAAAACGTTTTCAATTGAAATAAATTAAGAATATGCTCTTATCATTTTATGTGTAAAAATCTCACTTTTTACATATAAGAACGTGAGAAACCGTAAAAATCTACGTCCACATTAACGTTTGTTAAAATAATATTTTTTTTTACTTGGTATACTTATTTTATTGAGATTTTTATTTTCTGTAAATATCGTAATATAGGTAGTAGCAGAAAATGTCTGCTGGAAAGGAGGAGATATCACTTTTCTTATTTATTTTGCGATTTTTATTTGTATTTTTAACAATAACGAAAAAAACGGTATAGAAAGACACAAAAATAAATGCCCATCCCTAATGCCGCATCAATTTTGTTGTTCATCTGGCAGCAAAATGAGAAGACAGGATTCGTGTTTGGTAGGTATTAAAACACATTTTGACGCGTAATAAAAATGTATTATTATATAACACCTTATATACTTTTATAAAGGTTGGTAATTATAAAAGAACTTGTGACACAGACTGTTATTTAATAATAAAATAAGAATGAAGTCTTTTGGAAGTATTACAAATGGCTAAGTCCCTGTACAGTATCAAAATAGAAGCAATACAGGGCACAACACTATTTCTTGTATTGTATTAGTCAATTGGGATAATTTCTTCTTTAACAAAAAATTCTACAACTTCTTCTTCAACGTTTTCAGTATCTGCGCCTAGTTCGTCTGTGTCAATATCTGCAAATAAAAAAAAATATAAATGCTCTAAATGAATATACGGACATCTCTCGACAATGTATGAAACGATCAACGCGTAACAGAGGATTTTCTACTAAGGGCTGGCAAAGGTTAGTCTTGGGTCGAGATTTCTGTATGTAAGAACAGTACAATGCGTTTATAATGTACTGAACAAAGAGAGAACAGTAAACACGTTGCCAAACGTATGAAATAAACTGAGATACTGTACACATTGCTAAGAGACGTGGAAGGGGATAATATAGCAGATTTGTCGCAGTTGACTGGTAGACCCAATCAGTACCTCTGTCAGTACTTAAAGTTCTATGGAAAGGTGTCCATCATGCGTTCAGCTTCACGATGTAATTACGTCTCATGATGCTTTATTTGTTTATTCATTAACGAGTCGTTGTAATTTTCCCTACAGTTTGAAAAATTTTAAGTGCAAGCAAGAAACACTTGCATTTTTGGTTAAAATAAGTGGAATTGAGTTGTTTTTCGACAGTGGTCGGGCTATTAGAACTCTGAATTCAAAAATCGATATCTCGAAATCTATTAGAAATAATTGATTGTAGTTTTTTAAAAAACTTTCTTAATATTTCTGCTGTATTTTCTTCGTAGACAGTAAGTGAAAATCTTTATCAATAAAAAAATTACACGAATACTGAAAATTGCTATGCTCTAAAAGTAGATAGATGGGTTGTTTACAATTTTTGAATGGAAAAAAAAACAAACTTATCGAATTTTTCTTATGTAAACATATTGTAAAAGATCCTCAAAATAAAAAAAAAGTTTCAATATCTAAAGTGTTTCTTGAGTTATGGCGTGTTATGTGTTAAAAAGTTGAGTTTTTGAATTATCGCGATTACTGACATTTTCTCGTTATAAAAAAATGACACCCTAAAGATATCCTTATAAATAATTCCATTTCAGATGCTCAGAAACATTTCTAATGATATTATCTAGTTATCTTTTCGAAAAAAAAGTCTATTAAAAATAAGCGGATTGCGATCGTGATTTTACTTTACTTGATAGGGAAAGGCGTACCGGCAACGCCGCAACAGCACTCCGTCGCATTTCTCTCACTCCGACTTAATAAGATCCCTATGCGATTTACTTCCACACATGTAAATACCGACCCAAGAGTAACAGTTGCCAGCACGGTATAACGCTTCGTCCTACGTGGGCGAAAAAAACGCGCGTTTCGAGCGACACGTGTTTTATCAAGCAACGTTTTCTTATGATATCGTCCTGTATTGGCAATGCAGGATGCAGGATCTCTATGCTTTAATAAGCATAGAGATAATTCATAAGTTTCATAAGGAATTATTCATTGTTCACAAGAAAACGATTTTTGATAGCGTCGCACGCATCGCCTGAATCGCGCGCTTTTGTCGCCCATGTAGGACGAAGCGTAAGAGAAATAATTGAAATGTGAAACTACAGGGTTGCCAGATGAGATTTTGTAAATTTTATGGGACTATTGCTTCAAAATTTCCTAGAATTCTTTAACTTAAACAACATATTATATCACTTGATGTTATGTGTGTATTTTGACTAAATAACCGTGACCTTTGACCTATTTTAGTCTGCAATACTTACTATTTCTAAGGGCCAGCCTTCTAGCCTTCTTCTCCTGCCATTGCTTAATATTCTCCTCCCTGTACTCCCTGAATTTCTCCATAAGAGCGGCTCTTTTCTCGATCAGCTCTTTCGAGGCTTTCGACTGCCGCATACGGTCTTTGCTTTCAAACTGTGCATAATACTTCTTCAGATTCTTCTTGATTTCCTTCTGCTGCTTCTCTGAAAGAAGTGTGGCCGGTCTGGGCCTCCAAAGGACTTGGGCAAACCTTTCCAGATTGATTCTCTTCAGAATCTTACCCTGGAAAGACCACATCCAATATCCTAAAATAAGGGTTTTATTTTAGAAATTGTTTAACAACATATGCTTTTTTCTGTTTATTATGAGTTTCTTTTTACAGAGAAAAATTATATAAATATATTTCTTCTTTTTATATAATCTGTTTGTACTAAAGCTTCATTTAGAACCTCGCAATTAATGAAATAAATTATTGGCTTCAATTAGCGTAGAAGTTTGTTCCTTTAATTTCAATTCAGAACGTCAAAATTAGTGGTAGTAATTTTCAATTAGTGAAAAAAGTTAACAAACTTTTGACTTTTCCACTAACTACACTTCAAAGTTTGCGAGGAATGTCATTTTGGCCATTGATTATCACCCGTCAAGAAAAATTTTGGTTAGAAATCAAAAGTTTATTGTTTTAAAAACTAAATATTATGTTTTCTCTATGGATACAAGAGACTATTGCAAGCTGTTGCAAGGATATTTTATTAATTTTAACTGTGTTTTTCAGACATTGTGAATGATCGTAAACTAAAAAGTATAAAGTGTAATTGAAACCACTAATTTATTCCATTAATTGGGAGGTTCTGAATGAAGCTTTAGTCTACGAATTTGGAAAGACATTATGTCGGGATATGAATTTTAGTGAGATTATAATTATTAATATGAATCTTAGAAAAATGCTTCAGTCAGATCATTCAAAGATAAAAAAATATTTAGAAAAATAATGGAACAAATTTTCACTAGTAAGTAATTATAATATTCAATACCAATTAAACTTTTAGTTACGTAATCGAGTGCGCGATTTTTAAATTCATTGTTGCCAACCACGGACATATTCAGCGCCTGGCTGACTAACTGGAATTTAAATTTCCCGCTGGAAATTTAAGTGGTAGCTCTGCTGTAAAAAATGTCAAGTTGCAGTTGAATATTGTTCTTTTTAGAACCTCTTTTAGTGCATAGTGAACAAGATAGCTTAATAGACGTAAAATTCATTAGAATATTTGAACGGGAAAGCGGTAGTAATGACCCTTTATGTCCCTTAAGTGAAAAGCTGAGTTTTGTTGATGTAAATAATAACGGAACCCTTACTGTACAAATAACTTCCAAAACATCCTAATGGCAGACGAAAACAAAAACACGGCCCTCAGTCCGGGGCACCTCTTAAGTGAGGAGAGGGTGCGAAGAATCCCCCCGTCGTCGACTGTTAGAAACTATAGAAGTGACCAAAAAGTAAAAATAAAAGTATACAATTCTAAAATACGTATTGCGACCTGGAATGTGCGCAGTCTGTCCATGGCCGGTAAACTGGCAAATGTCGAACAGAGATGCGCAGAATGCAAATTGATATATTGGGGATGAGTGAAGTAAGATGGCCTGGATCAGGTAAACAAGCAACTAATAACGGCGTCATTTACTATTCAGGAGGGACAGACACGTTTCATCAATACGGAACTGCCATACTTGTAAGCAAGGACATAGATAGGTCGGTTATGGAGTTCATACCCTTTAATGATCGAGTTATGCTATTGAAGTTACAAACTACACATCGAACACTGAACATAATACAAGTATATGCCCCAACAAACGACAAAAGTGACGCAGAGGTTGAAGATTTCTACTCAACATTAGAGGAGGCGATGAAACTCACAAAGAAGGGTGAAATAAATATGGTCATGGGAGATTTCAACGCGAAAATCGGTTCCGGAAGAGAGAATGATGTCGTAGGAGAGTACGGCCTAGGCACACGAAATGCGAGAGGTGACAAACTTATCCAGTTCTGTATAGAATCGAATTTATTTATTGCTAACACATTCTTCAAACAACATCCTAGAAGACTATACACCTGGAAATCTCCTGCTGATAAAAAAGGCCGTACCATAAGGAATCTGATCGATTTTATACTTGTTGGACAAGAACTGAAGAAATACGTGCAATCAGTAAAAACATATCCTGGCGCAGACGTTAATAGCGACCACAATCCCGTCGTTATGGATTTCCGAATGAGAAGATTCAAAAAGATCGCTAAGACGCAACCAACTCCTAGAATCAACACTAGAAAACTGCGGATACCGGATGTACACACTCAAGTGAGTTCCAGGATCGAATGTGGAATGACAAAATCCAAAATGAAAAACAACTGGATATAATGGAAACCTGGAATAGGATAAAAACCTCCATAACTCTTATTCAGGAAAATGACATTGGCCACCTTGAAACTAATGTGAAAAAAGAATGGATGACTCCTGAAATCCTAGAACTCATGAATGAAAGGAGAACCCATAAGGCAAATCCAGCATTATATGCTGAACTAAACAAAAGGATTAGAAGAAAATGCAGAGATGCAAAGGAACAGTGGATGATCGAGAAGTGTGGAAATCGAAAAAATGGTAAACTGTAACAAGAAATGTTCCACAGCTATCTTACGGGACCAAAATAATGACATCATCTTAGGAATAGAGAATAAACTACAACGATGGAAGGAATACGTAGAAGAACTATTTAATGATAGCAGACCGAACACTCCACCGAAAGCGGATGAAAACATGAACGAAAAAGGACCTGAAATTACCAAAGACGAAGTAATTCACGCAATACGATCCCAAAAAGGCGGAAAAGCAACTGGCCCAGACAATATTCATGCCGAAGTTATAAAACTGATGGCTGAACAGGACAGAAGGGGGTTGCAACTGCTGGTATTCATATTCAATAAAATCTACCGTACAGGGACTATCCCAACGGATTGGCTACGCTCGACATTTATTACCCTTCCAAAGAAAACCCACGCTTCGAACTGCGATGAATACCGCATGATAAGTCTGATGTCCCATGTCCTCAAAATATTTCTCAGAATAATTCACACCAGAATTTATAAAAGATGCGAATACCAACTAGACGAAACTCAATTTGGATTTCGCAGTGGCCTAGGTACTCGTGAGGCGTTATTCGGATTAAACGTTATCACTCAGCGTTGCAGAGACATGAATGTCAATGTAATCGCTTGTTTTATAGATTATAGAAAAGCCTTTGACTGCGTTAACCATCAAAAACTTATAGAAGTCCTCAAAACAACCGGAATAGATAGAGAAGAAATTCGATTGATTACAAATCTCTACTGGCAGCAAAACGCAGTGGTTAAAATTGAAGGAACATCGTCAGAAGAAATCACGATTAAACGAGGTGTAAGACAGGGCTGTGTGCTGTCACCGCTCTTATTTAATATATATTCAGAGGCTATCTTCAAAGAAGCTCTAGAAGGAATCGAATGTGGAATTAAGATTAACGGGAAAGTGATCAATAATATCAGGTATGCCGACGATACAGTTGTGCTGGCCGAGAATGAACAAGATTTGCAGAGGCTAATGAATGAATTAGTTCGGCATAGTGAAAACTGCGGTCTCCTCATAAATACCACAAAAACGAAGGTTCTTGCATTCACCAAAACACCTGTGCAGATTCACCTGGATATCAACGGTGACCCAGTAGAGCAAGTGTCTTCATACAAGTATTTGGGGTGTATTGTAAATGATCAATGCGACCCGAAGAAAGAAATTAGAAGCCGCATAGAACAGGCTAGAAAAACATTTATAAATATGAGACAATTTTTCACAAGGTCAGATTTGAGTTTGGAGCTACGGGTACGCATGGTCAGATGCTACATTTTTTCAGTTCTCCTGTACGGGTGTGAGAGTTGGACTCTTGACATATCGTTAGAAAAAAAACTAGATGCCTTCGAAATGTATATTTACCGCCGTATATTAAGAATATCATGGGTCCAAAGAGTTTCAAATGTGGAGGTTCTTAATCGAATGAGAAAACAGAAAGAACTCATGCTTACCATCAAAGAAAGAAAAACACGCTACATAGGCCACATAATGAGGGGTAAAAAGTATGAACTTCTCAGATTAATAATTGAAGGCAAAGTCCAGGGCAAAAGATCTATCGGCAGACGCCAGAATTCCTGGCTAAAGGACATTCGTAGATGGTTTGGTTGCTCATCAATCGACATATTTCGTATGGCTGTATCTAGAATGACGTTAGCTATTTGGATCGCCAACCTTCGAAAGGAGACGGCGTCGTAAGAAGAAGAAATAATAACTGTTTATAAATATATATTTGAGTGATAGTTTACTAAAATATTTTGATTAACAGAAAATATGTAAAAGTAGGCAAAGCTGTGCTGGCCAAGCTTAATCACGTGACTAAAAGTTTATTTGATATGAACTATATGTTATGAGTTGTTAACCAATCAGTTATGAAATTCACTAAGAATTAACTAATTATATATTTTTTTCTTTTATTTTTAAATTTTTTTATTACTTGTCAGAATTAATTAAAATATGTCAATTTGATTTAACTGTTTAAATAGAGTATCTGTATTTCTGTTACAAAATAATTATATTAACTTTCATTACTAATATTTATGGACTCACCGACCAAAACAGAAGCCAGAATATTACAGTGTACCCTACTTTATATTTGTTGGCGTTTAAAAAAAATGGAACGCCACTGATAAAGCAGTATTAAGTCAACCCTTTAAACAAGAAGACTAAGGAAGCAGCATAATCTATTCATGCATGGTGGGCGGAAAAAGGACTGGGTGGGGATCCTTGACAGTTCTGTTTGACGATTCATTTGACACATTTGAATTTTATTTGAAATTTTGTGGATTTGTCAGTCTTTACAGAGCTTATTTTATGTTATTTATTCTACTACTGATAGTTGTATAAAGGTAGTAAATCTAGATGGAAATTGTGGCAGAACTTAAATTAACAGTGACACTATCGCGATTTATCGAAAAAGACTCTAAAATAGTTGGTTGTGTAGCGTGCGGTAGATCTCGGCAAAAATCGAGTGAAATAATGGAACAACTTTTCGCTAGTAAGTGACTATATAATATATACATATATATGCTCCTTCCTGAGTCTTCTTATTCAAAGAGTCAACCACATCATAGTGTCATAACGGTAACGCGAATTTTGTTGATATCTCCTTGGTATTTTATTCAAAAGTATATGATCGCGGGAACATTATACCGAAATTTAAACGTCAACTTGTTTAAAAGCTCAAACCATTCCCATAACTTTAATAATTATTAATTGCAATTAATTATCCAGTTGTAATCTGCTATTGTTTTACATACTAACAAAATGTGTTTTGATGGCATTTGGTCAAAGCACAATTTTTTAATTCCAACTTACCAGTATCAACTTTGGATTTCCAAAAAGACACTCCAGTGAAGACGTATCGTCCTGTTGGATCCCATTCCACATCAGACATTTGGAAATGATCAGTTGTATTCATAACCAAAAATTCCTGTGTATCGACAAACTCCAGAGAACCTAAAAAATAATATGAAAATATGTGAATGATGAGAGTTAAATATACAGGATGTCCCAGGTAATAATATACACACAAAAAAAGGTATTCCAAACAAAAGTGCTTATTAATTTACAAGTTTACATATAGAATAACATTGAATAACATACCGCCATTGCTTCCCATTCCGGCCAAAACAATAAACTGACCATTAGGTGACCAAAACAAATGACTGCAGGCCCGTTTTTCAAACTTCTTTAACAAAATTGGAGCTAAACCGACCCTAATATAAAATAAATTTATTTATCTTATAAAAATTACAATTATTAAGGCAAACATACTTGACTTCATAAAAACTGACGTTTATACTGAGGGTCTCTCCGTGAATCATAGCAAATTTGGTTCCAACAGGTTCCCAAGCAAAGGCTTGGATTGGTTCTTTGATTTCCACACTATCAACGGGTACTTGCTTTTCTCGCATGTGGAATATTTCAAAATTGCAGTACATTCCCGAATATTTCATCTCATTTTTTTCTTTTCTTGATTTAGAATATCTGTAAAGGAAAATATATTCTTATTGATTCAGATATTCAGGATATTTTTTCCTGATCCTAACATATCTTTTGTTATACCTATTCTGATTTCTGAGAGAAGATTTAAATTCTAATTTATAATTATGTTTTACTCAAACAAAAATAGATTTGTACCTGTCTACTTTAACACACAAGTAATCCCCAGATGTCTGCCAGTGAATTTTACAATCAGCCACATTAAACAAATTCTTTTTTCTAATTTCATTGCGATTTGGTAACTCCAAAAGTGTTACACTAGCTGGTACATCTTTGTCCTCTGCTACCCAGTAAGCCACTATGTTGTCAGTTGGTGACCTATAAAAAATAATATCATACATAAAAACTAATTCATAAAGGTGCGTTCACACCAGCTGCGCCGCTCCGCGCCACGCAAAACATTTTTTTAACATGTACTTTGAAAGTGTATTTTTTTAGCGCGCACAAAAGTATATGTTAAAAAATGAAATGCGCGGTGCGGCGCGGCCTTAAAATATGAATAAAAAAATCTCCATTTGATTAGAAATGTAACCTGTAATGTTTGTAACACAAAATGTAATTGTTTGCGTTAAAAATAAAAAAAAACAGGTTGTTTAATTTACCCTGAGCGTATAACTTTAACAATTAAAAAAACATTGAAAAAGCAAAAAAAATCAGGGATTACTTCTCACAACACAATAATTAAAATAATTAGAAAAATATTCGTTTTTTTAATTATTTCTAAGAAATAAATAATTCCCTCACCAGTTAAAATCCCTGATGCCAGCCATTTTGATAGACTTCTTATCCAACAACCCAAATGATGGAGTTTCATAGATAGATAAGACATCATTTCCAATTCTGCCAAAATACTTATCATCGTGAGACCATCTGAAAATTGGCCAGGGCGATGTGCTATCTATATTGAATGATCGTTTTTCCTGGCCTGTTCTATAACATTTAAAAATTATTTTGATAAACAGCTTTACCTAGTAAAAAAAAACTTACCTGATATCCCATATGACAATTTTCTTATCAGGATTATTACTTTCACCTTGGGGGGAGTAAGTTACTAGATATTTCTCGCAAGGTGAAAAATCTATGTACTGCACATTTGCATGAGCAAATTTTTTATACTGCAAGAACTCTGGGCCTGCCCATAGAGCAATACCAAGTTTGTGGAAAGTTGAAAGGTATGTACCCAATGGAGACCACTTGATGAAGGTCTGAGTCCAATTCTATAATAGAATACATATGGTTTAGTACTAATGTTAATGCCTACATATACAATACTTACACTACGTTCCTCAATCAAGCTAGGATCTGGTAATGTATTTTGCCAAATTTGTACACTTTGACCTTGTGCAGTAACAACAGCATACTGATCGTATGCATCAGGTTCTAATAAGTAATAATGTAGATCTGCTTGTCCTTCGTAGGGTCTAGTTTGTGGAGGTTCCCATTTGTCAGGTATTTGTTCATATTTTGCAAAATCAGTGAATAAATTTACTAAGAAAGTATGCTGTTTATCAATTTTAAACTTATTTGCCAACTCAACAGCCTCAGCTGCATGATTGGGATTTGAATATTCCAAAAAGATATATCCCTTAGTTGACTCATCAGCTTTAAGAGGGTAGTATTCATTAACTATTTTACCAAATTTGCCAAATACTTTGTTTATAACTGATTTTAACTTTTCAATTCGATTAGGGCCTACTTGAGGCACTCCGTCGACCACAATTACTGATTCATATCCATCGGTTTCTTTAGGTTTCTGTTTTAAAATATCTTTCAACAGTTCTGAAATCAAACATCTTGTTATATTTGAGTATAGAACTTTACTCTGTTCAATTAGAGGTTACCATATTTCTGGTAATAAGTGTTCAAGTATGCAAGAACAATAATTATGAATTAAGATATATGAAAGCAGCTCGTACATATATTTGATATAATCTTGAATAAAATCAGTTTTTAAAGAGGTATTATAACAGATTTTAAAACGTGGATAATTCTAACCTAAAGTAAAACTAGTGTTGGAAATTACTCACCCGAGTCCGAAATATCTTCCTCGTATCCTTCGGGATCGCTAAAATTAGGTTCCTCGCTATTACTCGACGCATCACTGTCCTGATTTTTTGAATTTTCGTCACTTTTATCAGACTTTTTCTTAGCCATTTTGGCAAGAAACAAGCAAAAACCAATTTTCGGAAAAAAAAGGATAACCAATATCACCAATATACGAAAACTATTTTACCCTAAATGAGCTAGAGCTAGAAACCACAGAATATTGTGACGGTTTTTTAGGGTTGTCAACATTGAACTGTAGGAATGGTATCAGATATCAATATGAATCGATTCGTTTTGCAATGGATCGACTTATATTATTATAATCCATTTGAATTGAAATGAACAAATTCACTTTGCTTTTTGTATAAGAGTTTTAAGTCATTTTTTGTTATTGATTGTGCTTTGCGTGATAAACGTTAAAACGCTTAAGTTTAAAAATTTAAAATGTAATAGATTTGCTGTTTCGAAGCAACAACAAAATTAAAACCGAGGATGGCCAAAGCGCCACGCGATAAATTATTTCTTCTTCCATGGACCTTTATTTATCTTTTTAATTATAGACTTAACTTTATTGTGACAATTTTTTCAGCTCAGATTCTGGAAATCCTATATACATACTTATAGGGCTCTTAGAAATATTTAAGACAAAAGACAAATATTTAAGATATATACCAAAAAATATTAAATGAAGGAGTAGAATATGAGTAGAATCAGTAGAATAGAATCGGATTGAAAGAATCAATTCGCCGAATCGATTTTGAAGGCAAATGTAGATTCTATTGATGCATCGGCTCAAAGTAAAGATTCATCGATAGGGCAATTCAATTCGGGCCATCCCTACCGTAAAGTAACTTACCTACATCTCTAATGGTCATATATAATATTTATTCTTTATACTATACACTTTTTCTATGGTAACATGTCACATGTCACGATACGATGTCATTTTCGTTGTTAGGATGTGTTCAGGATGTCAAATAAATATAAACAATTAAACAAGGTGTATTTGAAATTTGAAAGCCATATTTGAAAGTGTATTTACCCCTGAAAATATTTAAATTTTTTGTTTTAAAGTTTATTGAATAAAAATGAACATATACACTTTATCAGAGGCTATATTAAATCATGTTGGGGTATCCAATGTTGGTATGGAAGATATGACTTCCTTGGTGATAAAAATATTACTCTTCATTGGAGCTATTTTCCAGATTTATTGTCTTGGTGCATGTATTTTTATTACTGAATCACCAAATGATACAAGCTGGGGTCCGCGGGTATTGAGATATTAGGTATTTTTTTAGAAAATGTTTAGTAATATTGTGTTACAGGAAAGTGAAGATGATAGCTCTGAAAGTAGTTCGCCACAAACTACACCCAGAAGACCTCATTACCGAACCATTCGTAAACCTGAGAAGAAGAAACGACGTTAGTTTTTTAATTGAATAGATATAAGCATTTTGGTTTCTGTATTTCCATACGTTTATGGCATACACCTGTATAGTTCCATTAAGGGATATTTTTTATCTAGTCATTTTTATTTAAATGCTAGTTTTATTCTTATTATGGATAAGCATTGTTTATACAAGGTTTATACGTTGCAAGGTAATTTTGTATTCCATAAAGCAATTTTTGATTATTTTGTGATATTTTGTTTAGCACGGTTATGAATTCTTCATTATGAAAAGTATCTGATATTGTGTGCCGGTGTACCCTTATATGTATGTATGTATATGTAAAATGTTTCAAAACAAATGTTGATGCTGCTAATGCACTTATTAAAGCTATTGATGTCCCAGAAATACCTAATAATTTTTCTCCCATATTCCAACATTTAAAAATTGTTAATAAAAATTGTAAGTCTAAACATCAAGCTATAACTTCCCAAATACGTAAGTCTTAAGAAAATCTATTTTAATTTTAATCAATAAAATAGGAAATTAATATAAGTATTGTAGCATTAGTATATTTTGTAGACTACAATAGATGTTGGTGTGGTTGGTATAAATATAAATAATATTTATATAAATTGAAGATTAACACATGAGCAAAAAATACTGAGTATTTTTATTATTTAATTGAATAAATTGAAATTTAAATATTAAATTTATTATTCCTATTTAATAAAGCATATTAATCTTGATGTTTTTTAAGAAGATAAAATTTCATATATAAAATATAAACAGCCAGGAATATTAGAACATGTACATATATTTGAATTCAGATTTGTCATCTGTCACTTCTGTCAGTGCTCAGAACCATGCTCAGAACTTGAAATATGTTCTATGGGCACAAACTATACGACAGATTTATGGCAAAATATTTTTTGTTTACTTTTTTTTAATTCAAAGGTTATAAACAAAATATGGGTTATTTATTCACATATTCATAACCATATATTGTATTGTATTGTTTCATTTTAATTTGCTATATTTGTTCCTGATCATAGGAAATACCTACTTCCAGATTGTTACAAACAACAAATATATATGACGACATTGACAAATGACAAAATATATTTAACTAGAATGTAGAAAACATTATAAATGGTAGAAAATAAACTTTAATTGGTGATACCAAGGGGTGATACAATGAGTCTACCACTGTTTCCTAAATGTTTGCCAAAATTAACAGACAGGTCATGGTTTGATGTAGACCATCCTTGTGATCATGAAGATGAAGTTGCACAATTGGAAAAAGAACACCAAGACTGGGTAAATTGTATTGTTTGAATATCTTAGAAACAATTTACTAATATAATTGAATGATTAGATTGAGAGCATTTTGAAGACAAATTCAGATCTACCACCTATAGGAAAGAATTCAGCTGAGGTGAGTTTACTATAGATATAACTCAAAGAGTTTAACCAATGAATGTCTCAATTTATTGACTTTTTCTTCAGAATGTTGGCGATGATGAAGACGAAGAGGAGGAAGATAATGATGATGACGACGATGATGACAGCGAAACACATGATGATGAGGAAGAAGACGAGATAGAAATGGAAGCAGGGAATTAAGGAAAAAAAGATGAAAAACAAAAAGATAATCTTGAAAGAAAATATAAACCAAAAAATAACAACTTTTATTTGTTTTTATTCATATAATTCAAAATCTATTCTACTTAAGGAATAAAAGTTGGAATTCTCTCCATGCTTCCGAACAACTGCACCTGGCTTGAAATAATTTTCTCTTTGCCACTTTATCATTTGGTTTGTAGTGTAAGGTCCCTCAATTTTGGAATCTTCGGCGGACCATTTTAATTCCCACTGGAGTTCTATATTTTCAGAGGTATTATCAGATGTTTCAGTATTATCGCTTATTGATGGTTCTAAAACAATTTTAATAATACAGCAAGCAACGGTATAGCTATAATTTCTACAAGTATTTCATTAAAAGAAAAAATAGATAAGCTGACCTTTGAGTTTTTCTTTTTCCTTAACATCAAAATCATCAGCATACATATCCAATTCTGGTTCTTGTACCATATCCTTTGATTTACCATCTTTAACTTTTATTTTAGATGTTATCTGTTCATATGTTTCTTGATAAATGTCCATGTTCCCCAATCTTGTCAAAATCTAAAAAAAAAATCTTTTCTAAAACCTCAAATTTAATACTCGACTATTTTAATACCTGATTGGCTAATTCAGTAAGTTTAGTAACATCTTCTGAAGTTTTTAGAGTACCAGCTTTTTTTCTTTTCAGTCTTTCAACACTAGATAACTTTGTGTCATCTCCACCAAGTCTTTTTAATGCCTTATTGATTGTTTCTTTTGGCTTCATAAATTCTACATAATACAGAAAATATAAATTTCTTCTAAGATAAGCCTTCATTAAGACTTACCTAATATCTGTTTGTAAACCAATATTTGATCAAAGGGTGTATCTGTTTCGTAATCTGAGTCACTTTCTGCACCTAATCCAGCTTCTTCAATATCATATTTATTAGCAAATTCAGCATTGTGTTTAATTTTATGCCAATCAATATTATCTAACCAATTATCCCGCACCTAAAATCAAAAAAGTTCGTATACAGGGAAAAATAAGAATATAATTAAATAAAATGGATCACATCTTTTTCATTTTTCCAAATAAAGTGACCATCCCTGTCAAAGTGACCCTCCTCCAGTTCCTCTTTCATGTTAAAAGCTGTCATTCTTTGCTCCCCTTCTTGTCTTGTTGTTCCTAAACACATCATTTAAATTATTAATATAGAAAATTGACAGTATTACCTTCTTCTTCTCCTTCAATATCATTCTCATCTAAGACATTGGTTTCATCAATAAAATCCTCCTCATCACTATCCAGAGTGTGTTTCTTCTCATTTCCTTGTGTGTAAGTTCTTTTCTCGTTGGTTTCAAAGAATTGGCTTTCGTATTTACGTTTTGACATTTTTCGTTTCAATTAGCGTTTTTCTTTTAAAAATCAAATTGCTGTTTATTTTGCTATCGTTTCGCTCTTCAGTAGATATTTTTAGAGATAACGGAGATTCTGGAACCTGGAAATCTGGATATTTTCTGTGTTTGTAATATGTATTTTTCTTCTAACTTTGACTTGACTTTAATGATTATAAATAATGATAATGAAAGCTGTAAACTAAAACCTTCTGAAAATAAAAACCCCATGAATAAAAATCCGGACTACAAAAAGTCACTAAAAATTTTACTCATTTTTAAATATGATCTCATTCGTTTTTAATAAGTGTCGGCTTTGGTGTCGGATATAAATGTAGCCTACTGTAGAATACTATCATACATAATATAAATATATGACTATAAGATAGTTTTATTTATATCATATAAATAATAGTCCTATAGTCCTATTTTATATCATTTAATTTATATGTTCTCTGTCATATATACTTCATCAAATAATTATGTAGCAGGAACTTGTGGCAGGAACTTTGAATAAGAGAAGGAACCCCAGACAGGAATTTATTATTGTATGGCTTATTCCAATTTCTTTAATTATACCTAGGCCTCTAGCCTGCTGTAGGCCATTCATCAATATGGGTAGTTTAACATGGATAACATTGAATCCAAGGTAATATATTTAATGTTATGTTGCCCTTACTTTTTTTCATATAATTACACACTTTAGATTGAAAGAAGGGATAAATTTAATAAATAATTTGAATAACACCAAATTTGAGTTGCTTTTGACTCATATATCGACTTCAGACACTGATGAACTCTTTACAGAAAATGAGTTAAAGAAGCTTCAAGATACATTAAAATTGAACGAAAGTGAATTACAGCTTCTTCTTCAGAGTATATCCTATCTTTTTAAGCAGAGCAATAAAGTAATACTTAAGCCAACAGACCTACAAAAACAACTCATAGATATCTTAGGTGTAGAAGAGCAAAAATCAGAAATATTTATTAAAGAATGGACAAATCAGACTAATAAAGATTTGGGTTCCTTTGAAAACAGATATGACGTTAAAAATATTTCATGGCAGATAAACTTACAAACTGCATCCAATTTTGGAAATAGGCAAGCTAAACCAAATGCTAGAATACAGTTGGATTTATCAAAGGTATTACTAGTAATTTTTTGTAAAATCATATCATACCATTAATTTGTAAATCTTAATTTTTTTATTGAAGGTTACTGAAAATGATAAAGATGAAAAAGTTATTTTAGAAATGGGAGAAGATGGTTTACATCAGCTGTATAATACATTAGAAACAATACAGTTAAGACTGGATAATATGTCTAAAAATAAAAATTAATTTCTTTTATAAATTTTATTTGCTACAGTCCCCATTTATTTTATCTACTTTATAGTAACTACGTGTTGAATGATTACTAGAAACTTGACTTGCTAATAATGTCTGTAACATTCCTTCAACAAATGTAAGTTCTCTTGATAACTCCTCCTCTTGTTTCAAAACTTGATAAAGTTGAACCATCAACAAACCTAAAAATAGCAAGTTTAAATGTTAGTTATTATATTCATGTTTTTTTATATCTATTGAAATAATCGAAGAACATACCAATGTCTGTAGGAAGATTTTCTATATTATCCGAAATTATATCTAAAAAGTTATCTGCTATTTGTATAAGAAATTTTGAGAACCTCAAATCAGCAATGTGTCTAAAATAAATGTTAATGTACAACAGAAAAACAAAAATGAATATACTTGCTTGATAAAAAACCGAACTAGTTGTTTAATGACTTTTGGGTCTCTATCACTAAGAGCTTTATTGAAGGCTTTTCTTTTCAGCAATTCTCTTAAAACTGCTACTGTTCTTTCCGGATGTTTGGTAGATACGTATGGTAGTAAGGCAGCACCTAAAGCCTTGGAATATTCAAATTTTCTTAAGTGATAATCATATTTTGCTTCTTTCTCATAACTACAAAAAACAAAATTTATCTTCTTAATCTCTATTTATATTATTTTAAACTACCTTAAATCAGGTACAACCTCATCTACTTCATATGTATATTGATTTGCAGCATATTGAAATGAAGACACTTTTTTAGGAGTTTTATCACCTTCTATTTCATCGTTTCTTCTCTGTATTGCTATTATACCATCAACAAGTCCTGCTGCTACTGTAACATCATCCGGTGATATTCCTGAAAAGTAAATATATTTACAAAAAAATTATGTACATAAAGAAGTAATCCATTACCTAAACTTACAACTCCATTAGAATAGTCTAATGTATGAACCACCTAAAAAAATTAGGATTAATAAAAAATAGATCAACTTTAACTATCTTTACCTTAAAACTACTAATATCATAAATTTTAACGTGCCTGTCAAGGCTGCCTGATAATAATCTTTTACCATTTGAGGCCAGCTTCATACAAGTTATCGTTTTGTGATGCTGTGCCAAGGCACCTCTTAATTTACCACCTGCTAGTACATCCCAAATCTACAAAAAAATCTGTAATGAGTATTAAAGATATTTTTTTAAATATAGAGATAATACTTTTATATCGGTACCACCACTACTTAGAAACATGCCTCCATTAGGCAGAAATAATAAAGACTCAATAGGACCTCCATGATTCATAGTCATCACTTCTTTGTCAGTTCTGGTGTCCCACATTTTAACAATATTATCATAACCTCCTGAGAGAATTATATTTGGGACATCCGGATTTACTACTCCAGCTCTATTGAATGTAAAAAACAGAGGGTATGACAACTGCCATATATAATATACCTTTGATACTTACCTGATATAATCAGTGTGTCCTATAAATGTGTGAAGAGTGTTTTCAGTTGGTACATCCCAAACTCTAACAGACTTATCATCAGAGAAAGATGCCACATGGGGATGAGAATAGATAAAAGCCACTCTATGCACTGGTGCTGAATGCCCTTTAAATAATCTGAAAGTTTAAATATTTATTTTATACTATCTTAAATTAATAATAATATTGAACTTTTTGATTTAATTGATGATTGCCTTTATCAATAAACATTTATAGGTATAAAAGTTAATTTATTATGCTTAACTAGGTACTTTGTGTAATTTAAAGTTTTTACCTTAACATACTTTTGGTCGATACATCAAATAATTTAACATTTTTCTCCTCACCTCCCGCTAATATTAGTGTACCATCGTTTCTGAATATAGCCCCATAAGCATTTTCTCTAAACCTCGAAAGATTTTTTGTTACTAATTTTGTTATTGGATTGTATACTTGTACTCTCACAGAACATGTTACTGCAAAATGGTGAGGTTCTTGAGGAGAAAAATCTATATATTCTATAGGTCCAAATTCTTTAACTAATACTGGTTGCTAAAACAATAGTTATTAAACAATTCATCATAGAGTATTATGTGATTCTGTTATAAACAGCCGAAACTAACTTGTAATTTTTTCCAGTAAATAAAATCGGGTGTGATTTCTGGACCACTTTTTTGATAAATTTTTGTATTTAATTTTTTAAACGAAGACATGTTAGTACGTTAAATAAATTGTTTTAAATAAGACGACAATTAAGAAATAAAAATACACATGCTCAGAAAAATTAGGAAATTTTGGTATCCTAACCTCCTAACCTAACCTACAAATTCAACAAAACAAATCATCCAAGATTTACATTATATGTATAGGCAACTACAATATCACATCTAAATTTCTAGTTGCTTGTTGTAGGTGTGAGGATGTTAATTGTTTAATCGTATACAGGGTGTTTGAAAAATCTTGTGCCATCTTTCGTGGAGATATATCTCTCGTAAAAATTAGATTTATTTTTCATATTAACTTAGGGCCGATTTACCTCGTAGCTACAGGCTACAGGATGTTTAAGTATTTGTTTTATTTATTATAATTTGCTCCCAAGTGCCTCTTAATTAACGATTGGAAAATTTTAAAAGTTACTATGAATGTTACATACTTTAATGCTAAAAAAGTATCGACATATTCACCAGGAACGTGCATATGTGTTATCACTGGAATTTTTCTAAAAAAAATGCGAGATGACTTTTCGAAAAAGAGCGTCACTGACTTTTTTCCCTCTTAATTAGGGAAATTGTGTAGGCCATTTAATGCCGATTTATTATGCATTATATAAACACATTTAAATGGTTAATACTTCAAATTACAGATTGCTACATTTATTATTGGTTTTGCACTTTTATTTCTGTTGCATTTAAAAGGAATATATAAAATATTATGAAAATATAGATAGTAAAGGATCTTATTAAAGGGAAAGACAAGTTAAAAATTTAAAAATAATTTGTAAAAATATAATTCATTGTCATCGGATAAAATCTAAAAATTAATAATATAGAGGCTGTTAATTAAAATAATTATTGAAGTTGAATCTAGATTATTATATAACAGGAACTACCAGAAAAATATCTACAAAATCTTTTAGCTAAAGATGCTGAGCTCCTGAGGCATTACTGCTGTCTCAAATTTTCTTCTATTATAACATACTATACCTATAATCAATCTACTTTTTTATATGAATGGAAATAGGTATTTTCCCGGTAGGATACAATGTGTATGTTATGGCAGGTTATGGACACTTATGTCAATCATATGTCAATTTAAAATAAAATTAAACTATAAGCACTTATTAAAGTTCATGAATTTCTTTTATTATCGATTCGGAACATCTTTTAATAAAAATCTATCATGCAATGGTTTTCTATTTGCAAAAGTGTTAAAATATTTATTTTTGTATTTATTAAAAGTTATGGATTGATTTTTTTGGATTCTTATTTCGTTTCTTAAAAATATTTCAGACGTATTTCTGGTAGATGGAAGGAATATTAACTTCTGTTTCAGATGTGCTGAAAAAGAATATTTGGTTCCAATCAAATAATTTGATATTTTGTCGTGTTTTTTTTTGTAAAATTGCTAACCTGGATAATCAGATTTGTTTTTGGAGATTCCATCATCTGTAGACTCTTCCAATTGGTTTACTGGAATCAGGTTGTCAAATTTACTCCAGTCTAACTCGTAACAATCTATACTTCCATTGAAAGAAACTATAGATTCAAACTTATGATCCCATAAAATTTCATGAGCTAAATAACTTGAACTTGCTTCAGTAAATGCACCTAAAGATTTATAACACTATGTAGATTGTAGAATGAGTGTGAGGGGGGTTAATCACCGCGACCTTAAATAGCTTTGTTCGGGTTCTTGTTATTACCGATTCTGAACCGTCCTAGAACTCTGCAGCGCATGCGCAATTGAAATAATATCTTCATATTTCCTTCTGCGCATACGCATCACAGTTCTAGGACGGTTCAGAATCGGTAATAAGAGAAACCCGAAGTAAGCTAATATCTACTCTGTCCCCCTTTCTTGAGTTATAACTCATCATACAATCTATTACTACCTTTTTTTATTATCTATATTTATATTTACACAAAACCTGTGCAAAGTACAGAGACTGGCATGCATCTGCATCACAGGTGTCATGAGCATAAGGTCATCCTAGACCTAACACCACTGCACATTGTCGTCGGTAGTTATACCGTTATAAGAATGTATAACTTTAAGAAACACCTCACTGTAGTATTGAGTAATAAAAAGGATTGGAAGGGGGAAACGTTTGCCCAGCATGTAAAAGATCATACCATAACGTGGTATACTGATGCTTCCAAAACCAAAACAGGGATAGGGATAGTATTTGGGTATTATTTATTATATAATCAATCTACCCAATCATCTACCCAATCATCCTTCAGGCAGAAATCTATGCTGTCGATAGATGCGTAAAATTTATCTTAGATACGAACTATCGAAAACAGGATATAACCATCTTATCCGATAGTCAAGCAGTATACTAAAGTGATCAACTCAGTAACCATCATGATTCGAAGTTGGTCAAAGAATGTTTAGAGAAACTGAACAAATTAGACAAAGAAAATAAAGTCCTCCTAGTCTGGGTGCCCGCTCACCAAAGGATAGAAGGCAATGAAAAAGCAAATGATCTAGCTAGAAAAGGAACCCTCCACTAACTGGACCAGAACCGTTCTGTTTTCCAAAAAAAAAGAACTAAAAGCGGAACTGAAGAATCTGGAAGACTCCATCCGTAACCTGGAATGTTTTCCAACTGGAGTCCTCCAACGGTCTAAGATACTCGAAAATGTTCCTCAGAACCAAGAAAAATAAAAGATTTTCGTTAATTTAAGTAAAAACATACTTCGGATTATCACGGGGTTTCTAACAGGACACTCTGGCTCCTCAACGAACACCTTAGTAGGCTGAAGCTGAGAAACAATGGCGAATGGAGTTTCTGTGGGGAAAATGGAGAAACACTAGAACACTTTATCACTGAGTGCGCTGATACGACAACTGTTTATCCCATAAACTGAGATACTCAGACTGGCTTTTGTTAAAGCCCTGAGACTCGATGATGAGTTATAACTCGTTCTAACGCTTGAAAGGGGAACACACAATAGATCTGTAAGGTCGCGGTGATTAACTTCTAAACAATAAGCCTTGTTCTTTTTAGTCTTATACACAAAAAACCTTTAACCCTCCTAAACATTCTACATTCTACCACCTTTTTTTATTTTGCCTTTACCACAAAACTGCAAGAGTCTTGCATACTGTGCCGTGGTTTTGCCTCTTGCACTGGTCGGTCTTGGTCTTGGGGATTTACCAATAGTTTTGTCTTCGTTAGAAACTGCAAAGACCAAGACCAGTCTCGCTCATTACCACACACACACTATAAATAATATATTCTCTTATCTACTTATACACCTTTACCTGTGCTTTCTACTGTGCCTGTTAACAAAACGATAATTTCAATTTTATGGGTCTTTAATATTTCGGGAACTGAAAAATCAGATAGTGGTGAATTTTCGTCAATTATGTGATACACCGTAAGTGGCCACAGAAATAATATATTGCCCCTGGTTTCATCTGTTTTTAGGCATAATTCTGAAAAAAAGTACTTTTTATAATTATTATTCCCTTTATTTACAAAGAAATTTTTATTGGGTAAACATGTAAATTTTAGGCTTTCAAGAGTTTTTTTGAGTAACTAGCATTATTTAATTAACACTTAAAAATCGCTGGTTATGTTATTTCTATTAAAATAAGTGTAGTGGCGGCTTCGATAAAGATCTCATCGAAGAGATGAGATTTGCGATCTTTCAACATGCTGAATATTTTTAACTGCCCAGTACCCAGACCACAGATTTGGCGGCTACTGTACTAGAGTATACCTACATAGACTGACGAAATTATCTTTTATATAATCTGGACGTGTAGTACGTGAAGTGCGAAAACATCATAGAGTTAAAAAATTAAAAAAAACGCTATCGATTTGGTCGTAAGATCTGTGATTTGGTCGTAAGAACTCTATGATTTGGCATGCATATTAAATCATTGTGTGTAGGACCCCTTGAACGATATGATATGCATACCAAGATTGCAGATCTTATCTCTTCGATAAGATCTTTATCGAAGCCGCCATTACACGTTGAGTTTTGAACTGAATCGAAGCACTGTTTTTTGGTTAACATCTCTCAGAAATCGTTACGTGTAAAGCCCCTTTATCCACGACTCGTCTATAATTTGATTATTATACATGAGTTTATGAAACAATAATAATATTCATTATTCACTAGCGAATAATGGTTTCATTATTCACCGCTTTCACGGATTTCTCGATCCAAACTCCAAACAAGAGCCTGCAGCTGTGCTCGATCCAAACCGGCTTGGTTTTATTTAATTAGTTAAAGCTAAATCAGTTAGCTATCTAGTTAAAGAAAATGTCAATGTATTGTTTCCAGGTTACTTACTCATTATACTCGTTCAATATTTTTTTGACATTAAAATAAAAACTTATATTAATATTATCTAAATTTTTTTGATAGTCCTGGATAAAGTATAATATTCTACTCGCATATAATGGCTGTTATTGACTTGGATGATTTATGACACTCGCCTGCGGCTCGTAATAAACTTCATCCGCGTGAATAACAGCCACCATTATATGCTCGTTGAATAATATACTATTAAGATACTCTAAAATAGTAAGGTGAATGTTTAATGCACATAGTGATTGTTTTTGTCAAATAGCACATAATTCATTGAAATGTATTTGGTATTTTCTGGGGCAAATTTTAGTTATAGAAAGTAAAGCATTATGGACAACATGCAATTGTCCAGCTAAGAACAGAATCAAGTTTGAGTGTTTAGCTGTTTGAATTGTTCACCTGTTTGATAATTATTAAGTAATTCTCCTTCTCTAGTACGCTCGTTCTTAACTAAAATAGCTCTAACACTAACTTCTACCAGCCGACTTCTTCTAATATCTCCCACTCGGAACATGAAACATAGTTTTCCATCTCTACGAGAAATGACAGCATTTCTGGAGAACTGGATAGTATGGGTTGCTAATTTCGATCGAATCATTTTGGCGAACACCAAACCTACAAAAATCATGTACATACAATATTATTTGACAATTATTTACAGAACTCAACCAACATATTACACTAAAACAGTTAAAACACTTAGTGTAATATTATAGGTAGATACATGTATAACAATAACGTTGCATTATACCATATGATCGAAAAAAAACGGCGTGAGCGATGGCTATGAAATGAAGATCGCTGTAAATTTATACGTAATTCATTATTCGATGTTCATTTCCAAGCCAACTGAACGCCGTTTTTTTTTGATACCCCTACACTAATTAACACACGGCGAAATATTTGTAACATGATTCGGAATTATCGTATATTTATTTGTGTCCGTTTTTTTTGATGAATGTAGTATAGCCGATGGTGGTTCGGATTTGATATACATCACAAGTACATAAAATTTCTAGAGACTGAGACAGTCTGTTTAAGAACAATCTTCGTATTGTCGTCGGGGTTTTTAACAGGACACTGTCTCATCAATAAACACCTCATTAGGGGTCTAATTGGGGTGTAAGGCTAGCTCGCGTCCGTAGCAGAATGCTACACGTGCACCCCGGGTAACGCTAAATGAGCTAGTGCGACCCTCGGCAGCCAGACAATATCTCCGGATCTCCTGGCTATTATACATGGATTCATATATTCGGAAATCTTCCAAACACGGCCCTTCTCAGGACTAATTGACAAAAAATCTCGGAAAAATAATTCGAATTTGCCAATTAAACGCCGAAGGTCTTAGCAGAGCTAAAAGCGAGTACATTTCGAAACTCTTGCTAGACCAAAAGATTGACATGGCTGTTATCCAGGAAACCCATATAGAGAGTGAAGACCAGCAACGTCGCAGAGGCAAAATTCATGGTTTTGACCTACTTGGAGCTACCTACCACCGCTCATATGGAGTCGCAACCTACGTTCGGAATGACATTGAAAACGCTATATTATTAAATTCTACAGTAACCTCAAACATCCACCAAGTAGTAACAAAAATAGCTGACATTACCGTCGTTAATGCCTATAAGCCACCTCAAACATCCTGGCCTGATAATGTCCTAAATGTCTATCCACACCCTGCAATATATGCAGGCGACTTCAATAGCCATCACACTGCTTGGAAATATCGAACCACTGATGAAAATGGCGATCGCCTTGCGAGCTGGGCTGATTCACATGATCTTCACCTAATTTTTGATGCCAAAGAACGAAACTCTTTCAGATCAGCTGCGTGGAACACTGAAACAAACCCAGACCTCTGTTTTGTCTCAGAGAATGCCAAACGTCCTATATCAATGTCGAGGAAAGTTCTGGATGACTTCCCACACAGTCAACATCGCCCCATAGTTCTCGAAACTGGAATTAAAATTCCGATAATCCATTCTACACCCAGGCCTAGGTGGAATTTTGGAAAGGCCCAATGGGACAAATTCGCTGTGGAGTTGGATAAAGTCGTCAGATGGATCCCTCCTAAAAGCCACAATTATGGTAGATTTGGCAAAGCCGTTATAACAACAGCAAAAAAGTGTATACCACGTGGATTTCGAAAGGAATATGTCCCAGGATGGAGCGACGACATGGAACAGCTCTATCAGGAATTTCAGAACAACGGAGACTATCCAAAAATATCCTTATGAGTTTTTCGCCACTGCACTGCAAGAAAAATCTACAAAATAAAATAGTTATTTTAACGGAGACTCTGAGATAGCAGACGAGCTCCTTAATCGTCTTGATATAGAACGCTGTAAAAAATGGGAAGAAACGACAGGTAGAATGGATTTCAAAAAATCTAGCAGGGGAGCTTGGAGCCTTCTGAGAAAACTGGGCCAAACCCACCCACTCGTGAACTACCGGAAGTATCAGCAGACCAAATCGCTGCAAGAGTGATAACACTCTCTAAGGCCCCTAGCAGCAAACAACGAAACGCAAATATTAAAAAACAACTGATAATCTGCCGCCAAAAAGCAAGTGCCCACTCTGAATACGCCAAGCCATTCTCTGTGGAAGAAGTGGATAAAGCACTGGAAGACACCAAATCTGGTAAAGCTCCTGGATTCGATGGAATTCACCCCGAATTCCTCAAAAACTGCGGGAAACATACAAGAATGTGGCTGAGTAAATTTTATTCCGATATCCTACTAACAGAGCATATTCCAATAGAGCTCAAGAAATCCAAAATAGTTGCAGTTCTAAAGCCAAACAAACCTAAGAACTTGCCTGAAAGCTACCGCCCAATAGCCTTATTAAGTTCATGCTACAAACTTCTAGAACGTATGCTATTAAACCGAATAGGCCCATTGATATTGGAACATACTCCTGTTGAACAGGCTGGATTCAGACCGCACCGTAGCTGTGTGGACTAGGTACTCAGCCTAACAACACACATTGAAGCAGGATTCCAAAAACAGCTGAAGACCACTGTGGTGTATGTTGACTTGACTGCGGCGTATGACACGGTCTGGAGAGAAGGTCTTCTATACAAATTCCTCAACGTAGTACCATGCAGTAGAATAGCATCTCTATTAAACAACATGCTGTGCGACAGGACCAAATAATAACAGGAAAAAACAGGAGTAAAATTTGTAAAAGGTGTCTACCTTAATAATGGGCTCCCTCAAGGCTCGGTACTCGCACCGGTACTGTTTAATCTATATATCTCCGACATTTCACATACAACGTCAACAAAATTTGGGTATGCCGACGATTTAGCTCTTGCCATCCGCAGTAAAACTATAGAGGAAGCTAATGGCCTACTATCAGAAGACCTGTCTGTACTGGGAAAATATTTCGCAAACTGGAGACTAATCCCAAATATGAATAAAACTGAAGTGTCGTGCTTTCATCTCAATAATAAACAAGCACGCCTGGAGCCCCAAGTATACTTCAATAACAACTTGCTACGTTATAACCCTTATCCAAAATATCTAGGAGTAACAATGGACCGAACACTCTCGTATAAAAGGCATCTAGAGAATACCACAGCTAAAATAACTCTTAGAAATAATATAATACACAAACTTTGCGGTACTACTTGGGGCGCAAACGGATCCACTCTTAAAACATCAGCTCTCAGCCTAGTTTACTCAGTTGCTGAATATTGCTCTCCAGTTTGGCTAAACAGCTGCCACGTAAACATAATTGACACCAAACTTAATGAGACTATGAGAATAGTCAGCGGCTGTTTAAAAAGCACACCTCTACCTTGGCTGCCCACTCTGAGTCATATTGCACCTCCCAGTATTCGAAGACAGGAAAGACTCGTTAAGGAATATCAGAAAATATTATCAAATCCCCATCTTCCAGTCCACAACGACTTGCCAGATGCCCGTCTGCGAAGACTGAAGTCTAGATCCCCCGCACTACTATTAGCAGAACAACTTTTGGGAGAAAACTTCAGTATAAATGATAAATGGAGGGAATACTGGGACTCTTTGAAACCAGATCAAGCAGCTTATGTCATCGACCCTACAACAGCTCTACCAGGGATGGAGCTGCCCCGCCACGAGTGGAAGGTACTCAACAGGGTAAGAACGTCTCATGGCATATGTCGTGATTCTTTTTATAAATAGGGACTGACCGGATCACCGACTTGTGACTGCGGAGAACCATGTCAAACTGTTCATCACATTGTAACTGAATGCCCTCTTACAGCATATGGAGGAGAAGCGAGTGATTTCTTTGAAGCCACAGTTGAACTGGATCAATAGCCTAGATTTTAAAATTTAAGTGTACTTTTTGTAATATGTTTTGTGTATAACTTTTTAAATATCTAGTTTTATTTTTACAATTTGTGACAATCTGTTTACATGTTATACTGTGTTTGAATATATACATTTGATGTTGTAATTAAATCCATGTACGCCATACGCTAAATAAATAAACCTCATTAGAATGAAGCTAACAAACAACGGTGTGTGCAGATTCTGTGGGGAAAATTGGGAAACACCAGAACACCTCATCTCTGAGTGCACCGAGACGACAACCATTGGTGCTATAAACTTTAGTACGACTAATATAGGAGATGAAAAACTAATCTCAAATCCGTTTTAGAGACCTGAGTCTGTATATGATGAGTTATAACTCAAGAAAGGGGGATACAATAGATCTATAAGGTGGTGGTGATTAACTTCACCCTCCCCTCCTATACAATCTATAATCTATAAAACACTAAAAAATAAGATCAAGTTTAATGCACATAGTGATTGTTGGTCAATGCGTTGAGAGGAACATGTTTAATGACCAAAATATTGGAGGGTATTATAAGGGTATTATAGACCATAATGCCATGTAATATGGAATGGTCCTATTTTGTATCCTAGCGTTAATGCTGAAATATTGTTGAAACAACATACAAAAGATTCAGTTATTAGATTTTATATTAAAAATTATAAAAAAATAATGATGAAGTAAAAAAACAGTGTAATGTGCAGTCTAGGTTCATTCCTTGGGCCAAATTGGTTTTTGAATAATTGCAATTAGATATTACTTCCTATATCATTCTATGTATATGCTAAAATAAGGTATATCTGTAATACTCAATGTTTTATTACCTATGGTAAAAGAATCAATAATAAGTCCGACGATGCATTGAACGCATAAGATAAAAATGGCTTCAGGACATTCTTCAGTAATCATTCTCAGTCCGTAACCAGTGGTATGCTGTGTCTCCATTGAAAATAAAAAGCATGAGCTAAACCCGTAAACCTCCAGCACGCAGGGTGTCCAACCTTTTTTTTGAAAAAAAAAAGATAAGTTTGTTAATTAAAATAATTTCATTCAATCAATTTACCTGATTCGGATTGGTACGGAGGTAAGTGATCCTTTTGTAGATCTCCATGAACTAATGCTATCAGCCACCAAATAAGGGCAAAGAATAACCAAGACCCAAAGAACTCTAAAACTTAAAAATAAAGAAAATTTAATTGAGGAGTTATATACTTGTCTGATTAATTTTATGTCCCCATTAATTAATTTGGATTAGAGGGAGAAATACCATGTCTAAACTTATTAAATTGTAGGGGTGAGTAAAGGTAATAATATGATAGCACTCTATAAATGTTATAGACGGTATGATGAGTTATAACTGAAGAAAGGGGGAGACAATAGATCTTAAAGGTCCTGGTGATTATAATCCCCCTTCAACAACACCAAAGGCAGTTACCTTTCCATAAAGTCCATGGGATTTTGTGGCTGCTCTAACTATATCAGGAGAACGTGGCTAAGTTACCTTAGTTTGGGTACAGGAATCACAGATAAAATGCAAAGCTCAACAATACCACTCATGAGTAGAAGTGGGCAAAGATTGAACGAAACGTTCATTTGAACGAATATTAAAAATGCATCGTGAGATTCTATTCATTGTTTGCAATCCGGTTCATTCAATTAGTAAGTTTTTAAAAACGTAAGTTTCGCTAAAAACGAAATTGTGTTTTTATGCAACTCCAAATAAATATTGTTGGCCTCTGTTCAATGTGATAAAAAACGGCGTCAGCGATGGTTATAAAATGAAGATCACTGTTATTTTATATGTAAAATTTTATGGGGAATCGATGTTCATTTGCAAGAAAACTGGACGCCAATTTTTTTCGATCATGCGGTATTATATATACTATTTATTATGATTTTTAAATCGGAATTAAAATGTGACTTTAAAAATATTAAATTGGTGTTAAGAAGTCTTATAAAAATAATCAATCCAATTACACCAGTGTCATAACGTTTTGAAAAACAAATAAAAGAACTGAATATTTCTTTTTCTGGTCCCTTAAGTAATTGTCCTACCAAATTATCACCGGTAGTGCCAGTTACGATTCTTGTTTTTATGAAACGTAATTTGTGCATGTGGTTCGTTGAAATGAACGAATCGTAGAAGTTGATTCAATATGAGAATTTGAATCGTGTGATTCGATTCACTAGTAAGAATCGTAATGCTCATCACTACTCCTGAGACCAGAACTTGAGACCAGAACTTGAACTGAGACCAGATACTGCAAAAGCAACTACAAATGATAGGATAACATGTCTTTGATATGCTATAGTATGATCTTGATATATTTTAGAGATTAATTATATAAGAGCGGTAGCACTTGGGGGATTCTCTAATGTCTGTTAAAGAAAATTGCATATTTCTTTTGTTGTTTTAGCTTATAACTTTGTAACAATAGTATTATATACGTATATATCCGAGTAGTTAGTATTTTAAATATTTTTGCAAAATGCTATTGTTTTCAATTATAAGTACATATAAGATATAGACAAGGATATAAAATAAGTGTGAGAAATATATATTTAAAGCGTTTTAATAATGTATCCTTGAAAAGGAAACCAAACTGTATCATTGTTAAGAAGCTTTTACTCACTACTATGGATATTGTAAAGATGCATTACCTAAAAATTGTATTGTCCACCTCCATTGTGCATCTAAGAGAGAAGCAAACATTCCTTGCAAATACTTCCAACGATGATAATGTTTTGCGTTAGTTTTAAACACGTTCTTATATCCATTTTTAAAAACTATTCGTTTAGGCACTCTCCCAGGTCGTTTAGTCATGGTGTAATTGTTTCTTAAAAGAGACCAATGCAAAGAGATGTAAGGATAAAGCTAAACTTTAAATTTATTTACTCTATAATATGTTACTTACTCTGTATCAAACATTATTTCACTTCTGTCTTTAAAAACACCCAAAAAGCAACTTAGATTTTACATTGTTCTTTATTGCGATACTTTATTAATAATTTCCTCGAAATTTGACGGACATTACGCAAGTTTAGTTTAATCAACTCTTCTTGAGTGTAGGTGTGCTGAATGAACGACCGGCTCGGATGCCTTTATTTGAACAATAAAATAGTAATAAATGAAGAAAGAAATTAAACGCTTATAGAAAATGTCTAATAACGTCAAATTACACAAAGAGAGCCTATACCTATAAATAAGACACAATGATAAAGTTTAACGAAAATAAGACATTTTCAATTGTAACAAGTCTATTTATAAAGTACAATAACAACACAGAAAGGATACATACGTATTTAATACCATTGTCACAATGTTGGCTAACAACAAAAGAAATATGCAATTTTTTTTAACAGACTGTTCATGCTTCAAGCATGCCCGCAGTTCAAGATTAGAGAGTCCCAAGTGTTACCGCACTAATATAATTAATCTATAAAATATATCAAGATCATTCTATCGTAATGAGTGACACATCTCTTAAAGATTTACTCACTGTTTAACGGCTGCTTTGTAATTGCTTTGGCAGAATCGCAGAAAGGTTCTGGTCTCATGAGTGGTATTGTTGAGCTTTGCATTTTATCGGTGATTCCTGTACCCAAACTAAGGTAACTTAGCCACGTTGTTCTTATGTAATTAAAGCAGACACAAAATCCTATAAACTCCATGGAAGAGACCTCTATGCACTCTATGGAGGAACCTTTGGTGTTGTAGAATGTACAGTATAAGAGGAAAAACTTTTTTTATTATTGACGTTTTGAAAAAAATGCATTCTTTATAAAAATTTTTGCTTGTTCTAAAATGGTTAATCTGGTTATCTGGTTTATACTTTTCCAAATTTCTATACCGTTTGAGAAAAAATTAAAAAAAAAACATGAAAATATAGTTGAATTGTTGTCCTAAAAATTAAAAGGCGTTTCTATGGTAATATCATTCCAAATTCATTCTTTGATAAATTGTAATTGTTAGAATTTTAATTAACGCCATATTTTTTGCTATTTTAAAATATTAAAGAAGCTCAACATTTTTTTAGTTCAATGCTACAGAAAGGATCATAATAGTTATCGGAAAATGTAATAGTTTAACATCAGCAAAAAATATTACGTTAGTCAAAATTATTAAGAACCATGATATTACCATAGAAACGCCTTTTGATTTTTAGGACTTCTTTTAGAAAAAAATTCAACCATATTTCCAGGCTTTTTTTTAATTTTCTCTAAAACGGTATGGAGATTTGGAACAGTATAAAAGGGATTAAACCATTTTAGAACAAGCAAAATTTTTTATGAATGCATTTTCCTCTAAATGCCAATAATAAAAAAGCTTTGTCTCATGTAAAGATAATCCAATTTTTCACAATTGCCATTCGCTTTGGCATTAAAATGTGTGTAAGAGTACCAAATTTCAGAAAAAAGTACCAATGTTCTTAAAAATTAACAAAATATATTACTTTTATTTAACATTTTGAGGGCTGTAACTTATTGGGGAAGCATTTTTGGACGTATGTTCATAGGAACTTTTTGTTTTATTTTTATGTGTAGAATCACCCAATAAGTTAGATAGGTACACTATTTTTTTGACATCCTGTATAGAATTCAAAAAATCTGAGATGTGATATTTTAATTAACTACAGAAAATTATTATATTTCCAAATTATTTTTTAAATAAGTTTTTAGTTGATTAATTGTTTTAAGACAACTGTAGGCTCGTGGGTAACCAATATGATTGGTCGTTTGGAACATAAACTTACCACATGAAAAAAATTACAGCAATTTCCAAGTTTTAACAACAAAAATACTTTATAATGACCAGGATTATGAAGAATAATGAACGGTTCAACAATTAAACTATTGTCGTAAAAGTTTTGCCCTTGTATAAACATTAGATAAACTCGTTAAGATGGGAAAAAATTAATATTTCCTGAGCAGTAAATTCGTTCTTGTTAAAAAGTATTTATATTTTTTTATCAATATTTAAACATATAAAATCGTAGATTAAATATATTCATATCTTGTTCCTGGGAATTGCTCGTTTCATTACAAAAGATTTTGGAATTGCAATAAAACAATGACTCGGTTAGTCCAAAGTTACCGCCTTTTTGCAGAAATACTATTTAATTGAAGTCTGCCCAACGAATTAGGGGAGATAATTCGACATAAACATCCAAAAAATGAGAGAAAATCGTATATCTGTGAATTGAAATGAAAACACAACTGCCACTGTCATGTATCTTACTGTTGGACAGATTGTAGTATAGTCAAATCACTTTTTCATTAAGGTATCTCGAAAGTTGACTAGTAATAATATAATGAAGGGTAAGACTTAATAAATATGATTTAATTAAGAACCGAAAGTACCCTGCAAAAACCCTAGACAATATTCTCAAGACAGTGTCTTCTTCCACAATTACGTAAAACTATACAGAAAAATTTATCATAAGACTATAAGAGCCGCTAAGGACCTTTATTATAATAGGAGAATAGTCAATTCTGTTAATGTTGCTAGAGAAACATGGTCTATTGTGAATGATTTGAGAAACAAAGCTTTTCTTCGTCTAGCAATCTCTACCTCACCTGAGAACCTTAACGATTACTTTGTAAATGTAGCGAAAAACTTAACTAATACCATATGCCTTTTTCATAATCCACTTTCTTATCTTTGTAATGATAATGTAAACTTACACAGTTTCTTTTTTTCGACCGTAGTTTTAGAAGAGCTTCGCAGTACAATTAATACCATCAAAACAAATCCTCATCAGGGACCGACGGGCTAACTTTAAAAATGTTTTCGAATCTGCCAGAAAGCACTCTGAATCACCTAACTACTTTAATAAACATGTCATTCCAAAATGGTATTTTTCCAAAATGTCTTAAGACGGCAATAATCATTCCTCTGCATAAAGGAGGAGACAAAGATGAAGCTTCTAACTATCGCCCAATTGCACTCCTTCCAACGCTATCTAAGATCATAGAAAGGTTGGTTAAAGGAAGGCTGGTATCTTTTCTGTTTAAGTACAAAATACTTACTGAACATCAATTTGGATTTCTAAGCAACAAGTCCACAAATGACGCTATGTTTTCCCTCCTTAATAAAGTTTACTCCAGCCTAAATAACCATCATTCTACAGCAACAATTTTCTGTGATTTTTCTAAGGCGTTCGACTGTGTAAATCATAAGATCCTAATTAATAAACTGCAGCACTATGGGTTCAGGAGAACATCTCTCGAATGGTTTAAGTCGTATCTGAGCAACAGAAGTCAACTTGTGAGGGTGGATACCACGTTGTCTTCTAGCAAGCCAATAGAATGTGGAGTACCACAAGGCTCAGTACTAGGCCCTATTTTGTTTCTTCTTTTTATTAACGACATTGCTAACATAAACATCAGTGGCAAAATATGCCTTTTTGCGGACGACACTAGCTTCACTTGGAGCAACAAGGACGTCACGGCACTTCATAGGATAATATCAAATGACTTAATCACCATTAAATCTTGGTGCGATTTGAACCTCCTGAGTCTCAACATTTCTAAAACTAAAGCTTTGTCGTATCAAAAAACTCGTTGCAGCCTTTTGTATTTAACAACACCACCATTGACGTCGTAAAATCTGTAAAATTCTTAGGGCTTGTTGTAGATTCTCTGAAATGGGACATGTATATCGAAGCTTTGTCGAAAAAATTGAGCTCTGCCTGTTTTGCATTAAGATCTGTTTCTAAGGAGCTTAACTTGTCAGCGGCTAGAACTGTTTATTATGCACTTTTTGAGTCGCACCTCAGGTATGCCCTTCCATTCTGGGGTACGTGTTGTGCGACTCAATTTGACCGCATTTTCAAGTTCCAGAAGAGAGCTGTTCGAACTGGGACTAAACAGCAGAACTCATTGCCAGGACTTTTTTTTTAAAATTAAAAATATTAACTCTTCCTTCCTTATTTATATTTGAATCCGTTTGCCTAATACGTAAGCATGTATCAGCTTCTCAAGAAAGGCCATCTCACATTTATCCACTCAGGAACGCGGAGCAAGATCTTTATCTACCTACCCCACGCTCAGAGTTAGTTAAAAGTTCAATATTATACAACTCGAAAAAAATGCACAATCACCTGCCATTTGAAATCAAATCGATAACATCATTTTCTTCATTTCGCAAAGCATTGAACTCTTATTTACTAGACAAGGCTTTCTACGCCGATAATGAATTATATTTTGATAATCGAATTTGATTTTGTAAACACTGGTCTAATGTTTGCTATTGCTATATTTACCAATGACACTGAAATAAATTTATTTAGAAGTCATTGATATTTACTATAAACTAACTAAATATTTTTGAATATTATTTTTATTTTTTTTATTATTTTTTTTATTCTTTGACATTTTAAACATTTATAAATGTTTATTTTAAACAATAAGACTGACAATATTATTTGTATAATGTTTTGTATTATCTTTTGTTTGTTTGTTTGTGTACCTTGTTTGTTTACTTTGTTTGTTTACTTTACCTTTGTCTACAAATTCTAAAATTTTTTAGCAATAAAGGCATTTATTTATTTATTATATCCAACTGCAAGTGTGACCTATTGGTGCGCCAGCCTGAGGAAGATGCTCTCTCTCTCTCTCTCTCTTGTCGATTCCATATTTATGGGAAAGGAACATCGGACAAGATAAGGCGAATAGCCAAGCAATATAAAATTAAAACTGTTTTTAAATCTGGGACTACTCTGAGAAGTGTCCTAACAAAAACAAAACCGAAATCATGAAAACAAGAGAAAGAGTGCATCTACCAGGTACCTTACGAGTGCGGTGAGTCATATATTGGAGAGACAAAACGTCCTCTACATGTACGACTTGACGAACATAAAAAACATAGGCAAAGAGGTGCAACAACGAAAACGGGTATTGCAGATCCTGTGTGGTCCAAGCACCACAACATAAAATGGTCGGAAGCTCGGGTTGTCCACAAAGAATCCCATTGGAAAAAGCGTAAATTTAAAGAGGCCCTATTCATAGATCGGGGAAGTTAGCAATTCATTGAAAGCAGGAATTATAAAATACGATCCTTCTTGGGCTGCTACAATCCTGCCTTATCCTGCTTTAAATCCCAACCCAGCCACACCTACCAATGAGCTATAGGTACTTTTATTTTGGTTGCTGACTTCCCACTTGGCAACACATGAGAAGCACGATCGCCA